AGCAATTGGGACAAAGTGGGAAATAGCACCTATTTTTGCATTTTGGGGAGTGAAACTGCTGCTTTTAAACACCAGCCAGTTAAGAAATCAGACTTTCAAACCATAGGCAGAAAGAGCATCTCTTGGCAACACAACCAGTGATCATTTATGATGAAGAAATATTTTCCTAAGGAAAACAGTCCATTACAAAAATAGCTGTTTCTTCYCCCCACTGTTTTCAATCAGCTTCTCTCAGGTACTCTAATGCCACTTCTGACTCACGTCCTGTTCACAGCTCCACCCCCTTGACATCATGAAGTCACAACCTGTGCCAAAATGGTCAGCAAATGCCAAGGACACTTGGTATGCTGTGGAGTCAACAGAAACGAGTGCCCCGCAGAACTTTTCAGACCAGAGCCAAGTGAAGGGACACAAGTTGAGAGGACCCAGCACACCTGCCAAATGCCAGAAGTCTGCATCCAGACTGCATCTGCTTCCAGATTGCTGCAGGAATTTCTACAGTTTCTGGTCTGGCGGCAGGGACACCCCGATGTGCTGGTGCTGAGCACCCTTTTGTGTGAATATTGGAGCTGCCAATGGGCAGGAAGCCGCCCAGGGCTTCCACCACACTTCTGGGGAGGTGAAGAGAGGCCRCAGAGCTGATGTGCAGCTTTGTTGATGAAGCGTGTCTCGAGCAGGAGACCACCACAGACTGTAAATCCTGAATCCCATGGACAGGCTTGGCATGGGGAATGAGAAGGGCTTGTGAGCTTGTGTCAGACTAGAGCTCTGGRGTGCCAAGATCCGACCTTTCCAGATAGAAAGTTGTCAAAGACAGCTCTAGAATGCTGGTGCTTGCCAAGCCTGGCTGCCTCAGTACACTGAGATCCCTATGACAACGTTGTTCAGAAATAAAGGCAATAATATGACTACCATAAATGGTAGGTTACTAAAAAAAAAAAAAAGGAATATTTCATAGGAATGCACAATGTGTCCAAAAGGAGACATAAAACTCCTATTATTTGACTGTCCAGACTGATCAGCTGGATATTTATCCATCCAACAGCTGATGCAACGTGGAGCTGACCTTGCCCCTAGCAGGACTGCACACAGGAGGGTCTGTGATGGGATGCCCTGAAAGAGTGTTTTCATTTTCCAGCTAACTATGCCACTGTGCTATTGCTATATTCTGTAGGTGGTTTGTTATTAAATGTCAAGAGCCGCCGCTCTTAAGGCTCCACTGTGTTCACGCCGCATGACTGTATTTTAAAGTATATGCAAATGTCTCTATAAATATTATTACAATGAGAACTGGTCTCTGGGGAAAAAGCTGATATTAGAGAAGAGTAATTTTGAAGTTTTCTTGGCACTAAATGAATATGATATTCATGCAAAGTACTTTGCATTGGAAAATATTCTGTAACCTTTACTTGAGCACTTGCTTTGCAATTACTTAGATTATATTATTTTCTTCCAGGTGAATTATTTCTAAAAATTACATTTAACACGAATGCACACTCAGAACATCCTGAAAACATATAAATAATCCATGAACTCATTAATGGCATTTAGCACAGTCAGTGAGCTTTGTAGACCTGATGGCACTAACCACACCAGAGAATCACCTAAATCTCAAGAGTGTCAGTTAAATAAATGGGGMAGCATGCACATACAAGAAAAGGTGGAGGGAAAAGTGACCTGTCTGCAACAGTTGAGCAGATCTGCAGCCCCTCCAGCTCTGTGTCTGTGACATACCTTTGCACTTCAAGATAAGTAAAGTTCCAAATCAAAGCTCAAAGGGACAAAGACATTCCTCATTCTCTCTAATGGTGGGTAGAAGAGACTAAATTCACTGGGCAAAATGAAACGTGGCAATTCTTCCAGCTGCTTTTATTGCTTAAACTGTTCATAGGGTGATGCTTTGGGGTTTTTAGTAAGGCTTTCTGGAATTTCCATCCTGTGGAAATATTCCAGATTTCCAAGTAACAGCTTTGTCCTACTTCTAAGAAAGACTAAACAACCAAACACCTCTGTCAGAAAATCCAAAGAAAAAAAAATCCAACCAATTGGAACAACCCAAATTAAATTTTACAGTTGGCTAAATAGTCTTTGGCCTGGCAGAAAACTAAAGGTTCTGGCGTAACTGAAATTATCTAGTAACAAATCATTCTAGCRGATAATCCCTATGTCTTTCTATGTGAGTTCTTGGAATTTTTTCCAAAACTGAAATGTGAAACAAAAATAACTGCACAATCGAGCTAGGAGAGGAAAAAAAAAGAAAATCTTGAACCACAAATATGCAAACATTGAATAAATGTCACTTGAATCAATATAAAGTAAAATAAATGGAGGTTTCTGCATTGTTCTTTTAAATTAATTATTAATTTGTATTTTAAAAAAATCATCATAAATCTTCCTCAAGTAGATTATGTTACTCTGCCTGTTATGATTCATTAAACTAGAGGAGAATGAGATCATTAGTATTTGAGTTAGCATTTTTGAGGCTGCCAGATATCTTCCAAGTATTTCCTGCAGCTGGGAATGCATGTAACTTCCTTGGATCTGAGAGCCTGCTTGCTCCACACCCTGCTCAAGGAGTTTCTGGTGTCCGTGACTAAGGGGAGCAAAATCCCTGCAGCTGGTTCTGTCATACGGTGAGACCATTTTCAGGGGCTTACTTTGCTTGTCCCTCTTAGACCCCGCATCTGCATTTGAAATTGACCTGGGCATTCGTAAGATCATTTGGAAAGAGCTGATCCAAAAGCACCACCTGTTTCTCAGGAGGGTATTTCTGGCCATTGGTKGAGGCAGATCTAGCTAGAGCAACACAGAGCTTTATGAGGGGCTACCAGGTCTTGTATTCATACAGGGAGGTTGTGGAGTCTCCTTCCCTGGAGATCTTCCAAATCCACTTGGATGCCGCCCTGTGCCCCGTGCTCTGGGTGTCCCTGCTGGAGCAGGACAGGGGATTGGACTGGATCATCTCTAGGGGTCCCTTCCCACCACCTCAACCATTCTGTGATTCTGTGATTCTGTGATTCTGTGATTCTGTGATTCTGTGATTCTGTGATACCTACTATGTATTATGTGCCATGTACATACTCGGTCTTGTATCCACAGTCATTTGTGACAAGCAAGTTCTGTGTCCAGCAACAGGGGAAAGATCAGTTTCAACACAGTGATTCCCTGCCACTTTCCATGTCCTTTTATATATTTTGCAAATTCTAAGCCAGATAGTAGATAAGTATACAGTCATGCCTAGACGAGAAAAAGGGATAAGATTAGAAGCAGTCAGGACCCCATCAACTGGAAAACACTTCCTTTAGGAAGGTGCCGTGTCCTGACTCTGAAGCTCTGCAGAAAAAAAGGCCAAGAGGCAGAGGCTTAAAAATCAGTGCTTGGGATTCTCAGAAACTATGGCTAAACTGTGAATCTCCCAAATCATCATGGAAAGGGCACCATTGCCCCTTCTAGACTGAGAGTGTTATGGGAAGCAGTGAATTGATAATGCAGACCTGGTAAAAAGAAAAACCTCTGTTGCTGCTTGTGACTGGATTAGCCCTGAACACAGGATGGGGCAGAGCAGGCGGGAACCTCACAGGTTCAGTGCTTCTTGGAATGACACCCTGCATAACGCTGTCCTCACAAGGGGCCAGGCCCTAGTGCTTCAGGGACAGACAACACCAGCAGCTACATCACAGCCTCCTACAACCAACCAACACAGGATTAAGACCATAAACATAGTGCAAGTTAACACCAAGTTAGTATTCTTTTCATGCCCTCATGTCTGAACCAAGTAAATCACATATTCAGAGATTTGTAACAGAGTTTTCTGCCTTCACCATGACATGCAACTCTTTCCGCAAGCTGGTTTGCGGCATAGTAGGTCCCATTTTCCAGCTACGATGTTTGTAAACTTAATATATTGAATAAGGGTATCCTCTCCTTTGGGCATGTTTGCAGATACGCACAGAAAAGTCTCCAGCAAAAGCTGCCCTCAGCCTTTCTGAAGCATTAGACACCCTGATGTAGAGGAGCAGCTCCATTACACCCTGACCAGGAGCCTGCAGGAGCATCATCCYTTTCACCAGCCCTTGCCAGCCGGGGGAACACGAGAGGCTGAGCACATGTGTGGCACATGCAGACACATGTGGATGCCTGGGCAGCACGCGGCTGTGTGCCTCCTGCCTGCCCCTATCCCCCCGGGGAGGTGTGACCCACATGCGGTCTCCATAGAGCAGCCACTTAACTCACACTGGCTTCCCACCCCACTCACTGCTTACTCATGGCAGAAGCCAACTGTGGTTTATAAATTAAGGCTTTTCTCCTCTTCTTGGAAACTCCCAGATAGGAAAGGTCAGAGATGAAAGCATTTGGAGGGGCAGCTGTGGGAAAAAGATCATTAAAAATAGACTTTTTTTTTTTTTTTTTGGTGTAATTTCCTGGTTGCGTTATTGAAAGAGCAATGACAGAAGGGATGAGATGGAGCAATAGCATAGAAAGGAGTAGGTAAGGTCAAAAGAGTCAGCAGCACCATGATGTGGAAGAAAGAAAAAAGGGCTAGAGGCATTGAGAATTCATGAACTAGTTGATAAATAAACAGACAGCCTTGGYCCACCCCCATATCTAGGTGTGAGCCTTGTTTCTCTGAAACTGCTTTTACACATGAGGGTTGCCAAAAGGAAAAAAGAAAAAAAAAAGTTAATTGCAGCAATTATGTGATTAGGGCATTTTCACTTCCTAAACTGGGAGACAGAAATTCCCCTGGGTCATACGATCTCTTTTGAAACCCTAGCAGGAAGACCAGCAAGAGCGGAGGGCGAGTGCGGGGCGTTCTCCAGCTGTACAAAAGCCTCCCTCGCAAGAGCCCGGCATCAGAGCAGCACAGGGGTGTGCGTGTGTGCACACACACAGCAAGGTGCTGTGCAAACCTCCCCTTAGTCAAGCTTTTTCTTGCACAGTTCTTTCGTTCTGTGCTATCTGGCAGATCTCTTCTGTTTTTCTTTCTTTCTTCCTTTTTTCTTTTTTGATTTGCCTCCACTACTTGGCTTCGCATRTGTCTCCAGAGCAGAACTTCCAAAAAGGCATTTCCTGCAGCCCATCTCTCWGAAAACAACTCTCCCGTCTTCCAAAAAGAGCCAGCCACCAGCTGCGATGCTGGGGACAGCAGCAGTGAGGACGTGGATCGAGCCAGTGGTGGCAGGCTCCCAGCTGGCCAGCGCCTTCTGCGACACGGGGCTGCTAATGGTGGTGAAGAACTACTACAACCAGACCAACCCGCCCTCTCCTTCTCACGCACTGCAAGATGCCGAGCAGAAAGCTGTCTCTAACTTCTATATCATCTACAACCTTGTCCTGGGCCTGAGCCCGCTGGTGTCAGCCTACGGCTTGTCCAAGTTGGGGGACAAGGTGCATCGGAAGATCCCCATCTGCCTCCCCCTTTTTGGCTACTTGGTCTCCAAATCTCTCCTGCTCCTCCTGATCCTGCTGAACTGGCCCATCGAGGTGATGTACGGGGCTGCTGCTTTTAATGGGCTCACAGGAGGTTTCACYACGCTCTGGGCAGGCGTTATGGCTCTGGGATCCTTGGGCTCCTCCGTGAGCAGAAGATCTCTGCGGCTTATCATCATTGAGCTGGTGTACGGCCTGGCAGGTTTCCTGGGAAGCATGGCATCCGGGTACCTCTTTGTGGGCTTCAGCAACCGCTATCGAGAGGGCACAGTGCTGGTAGGCTGCAGTGTTGCTTGCTATRCTTTCTGTCTCCTCTACAGCATTTTTGTTCTGAAAGTCCCCAAGACAGCAGACTCCTGCCCAGMCAAAGCCAAGAGCACAGGGGATGGTGGCAACCAGCTACCAGCCAGCACAGGAGCCCCGGAGATTTCCTCCTCTTCTGAGAGCATCAATCTTGCACCAGTATCACCCTCAAAACTTACCATTGTCATGCTCTTTGCCGGGGCAATTCTCTACGACCTTGCAGTCGTTGGTGCTATGAATGTGCTCCCACTCTTCTTGCTCAGGGAGCCCTTAAGCTGGAGTCCTGTGGAGATCGGCTATGGCAACGCTGCTGGGTAYGTGATCTTCATCACTAGTTTCCTAGGGGTATTTGTGTTCTCCAAGTGTTTTAGGGATACTACGATGATCATGATTGGAATGGCATCCTTCAGCACTGGCATCCTCATCATGGCCTTCGTGCAGTGGACCTTCTTGTTCTACATCGGTGAGCCGAACTGCTGTGCGCGAATGCAGTCTGAGAAAGGGGCTGGGATGTTTCTGTACTACAAGAAGGGTTTTTGCTCTGTTTTAATGAGAAATCCAGGACAGGGAGCTTCATAGAGACTCACAAGTATAGTTCACAAGAGGGTTTTGTCATGAAAGTAGGTTAGATCCAAGTTCAAATACCACAGTCAAAACACTGTTCAGTGCGATAAGCAGCTTTCTCTGGTTTTCCTGCTCCTTTCCCTTGCTCCTCATCTTTGCTGAGCAGCAAGACCACCCCCTCTTTCAGCATCCGACAACAACCAAACTGCCATATCTGTCCTCAGTAACCTCCAGTCACTCAGGACATAGACAGCTAATTTGGGTCACCAAAATCTTTAAGACTTTGTAGACAAGGGTTTCACCATTGCCTTTCCCAATGTTTGGCTTCAGATCATTACTCTCAGCACCCTTTGATATCTCAAAGAGGCWTCCACTTTTGTTAATGCTTAATTTACAGGTTAGTTAACTTATAATTTGTTACTTGGTCATWATCCAAACCTGTGCAGAGAAACGATGCTTATGAGATGTGGGAGTCGGACCTCCTGTTGTCTACCACTACCAATGAGACAACACTGCTGCATTCATACAAGACATTTGCTCCTTGTGAGGAAAGGCTTAAGGCTACAAAGAGCAAAAAAAAAAAAAAAAAGGCAAAGASTTCCTAATAAGTGGACATCTTAAGAGATGATTCATTTTTGTTGCTGTAAGACATTTATGGCTGATGGAAAATTTAATGGTGAAGCATTGGATCTGTTTCAGCAACTAAAACATTATCACAATATAATGTACAAATCCCATAGTACTGATGACTGAGGGACAGATGGGCCAGAAATCCCATGAACAGAAAAAAGCAACTTTATTACTGGGAGGTAGCCTCTCCAGGAACACAGAAAACAAGAACAACATCCTTAGTGCCAGTGAAATGGATAATTCATGTTTGACAAACAGAAAGAGTATGTCACATGGCTTCAAGGTCCTGCTTCTGAAAGTGAGGAAAAGATCCAAGWGAAGCGACCTGAGGAGATTCTCCTGTGCATCTCTAGATTGAAAGAGAAATTGAAAATCAAATTGAGTCATTTTTAAAAGAAAAGATGTAGGATAACATACTTGGTGTACTAAAAGCAGATGAGGGAGTGAAAATTTTAAGAGATTTTGTTTATCCACTTGGAACCAAGACTGGGAAAAAAAGACAAAACAAAAATAACATAATGCAAATTTTTTTTAAAATTAACATCATCGATACATGCTGCCATGCAATTTACAAGGTGCTTATTCCTTTATTACTGTAGGAACACCCCAGCACACTAGGCATGGTCTGAGTCCTTGCTGAGGTCAGTTTTGCTGGCAGGAAGCCAGCTCCACGTCCCTTGGGATTTCTACACTAGAAAGAGCCTAAATTACTCGAGTTCAGACCAGACACACCATGTTACTAAAGCAATATAACGTTACGCTGTTCTGCAGCATAGGGTGTTCTATCTGCCTGTAAGATATGTATTATCTACCTCACCTACCACAGAGGACAGTGCTATATTCCAGCTCAATTGGGATTTCAGGTCAGGCGGAGATCAAGAAAATCCAGGTCTAGGAGAAGTAACTGCCAGTCAGAGCAATAGGTCATGTATCCACCATACCTGGTATGAAGCAAGGACCTGTGACAGGTTTGTACTGCTTTACGGTAGACCAAGAGCAAGAAAGAAAGGCAAAGGTTCCTTCCAGCCCCAGGCATGTAGTCTTTAAAAGGGACACTTGCGTCATGGGACAGGAAGCAGGTATTGATGATAACGAAATATTTGTTGCATTACAGCAAGGGCAGTGATGCTTTTTGCCCTCATTCCCTTACCCACCATCAGGTCCATGTTATCCAAGCATGTTGAAGGGTCATCTTATGGTGAGTATTTTACTCATATTATCAAACAAACACCCCAAGCCCCTTCATTCAAGCTAGAATACAAAGACAAAAATAAGTTATTGCTTTCAACTACATACTGCATGACAAAAACAGAGTAGTTTGTACCACAGAAGGGAAGGGAGGAGCAGAAAGACTTGCAGAACTAGATTGCAACGTAGGAACTTCTCCCTAGTTACTTCATCATTTACCCACAAAATCTTCAGCATGTGTTTTAGGAGATTACTATCAGTGTGCCGCTCAAAGGCAAAGAAAGAAATATCTCAGGTACTGCTCAAAAGCACAGTGCTCCRGGGAAAACTGAGAGAAGCAAGATGTTGCAATGACAGCAACACGATAGTCACACCATTTTTGTTTGTCTTATTTTACTTCCAGCTTTTGGAAAGACCAACTTCCTTCATCTTCTTTTTCGTTACACTTGCTATCTCCTCAGAATGTTCATTGGTAGTTTGTTCCTACTAGAACGTGATTAAACCTTTGCATAAAAACTGTCACCTTTTGGCAAGCAGGAGGAGAAATACTTATTTTTTCCATTAAAAATATTTTKAGAGAGTAATAAAAAATTCATATATTCATTTTACAATATCATGTTGGAAGCTACCATTTTTACTCTAAAGACCTTGATTTGGATGTAACAGCTAGGACTGCCCATGCCTTCTCAAGACCCAGCCCCAGAGCCTCCTTGGTGTCTCTTCGCTTTCTGTCATCTGATGCACTCAAAAAATCTATTCTGTCCCTTCAGTAACCTGCCATTTCACTCCCAGATCCATGTTCTTCTCCTCAAAACCAGGAACACAGCCCAGCTGGGTCACAGTCTGTGCCCACCRTGAATACACAGGTCCTGGAGTATTCCTGGAGACCTGACAGCCTCCAGTCCCTAGGCCAAAATTAGGTCAGACCATATTACTGGGTTAAAAGTAACRCAGATCCAAGAAAAACATGCTGTTTTATTCCCTCCTTTAGTCAGAAAGCACAAGCTCATGTAGATGCCATTTGTCTATAGCACAGAGATGATAGCTTGAGCCCATGTCCTAGGCAGTTATTTTATCAGTGGAGAATTATTTCATGTTATGTCATATTTGGATATCTCACAAGCCCAGTCAAAGAGATGTAGAAATCAAACCTGCAGTGCTTCTGTACAGCCCCCAATTTCCTTATCGGTGTATTGCTGGATCATGCAGAAGCTGTGCTGTCAGCACCTCACTCCTACTGCTTGTGCCCTTAAGGTAGTCTCTAACAAGCCCACCTTATTGACACAAGCAATGCAACCCAGGGGACTGGCTTTTTGTCCTGCCACAGAAGCAGATCCTGACTACAACCTCTCAGATATTAAAAGATGCTAACCCAGGTCTGTCTTTCTATGTCCCGTGGAAACAGGATACAGTGCTTTTATTTCCCAATCTATTGCTGCTTTCTCAAGCAGCTACCTCAGCTCTCAGATTGAGCAATGCAGATTAGCAACTGTTTAAACAGCCAGTTTTCTAGATAACCCTTTTTTCCTATCCCTTAAAGGAAAAGAAAGAAAGAAAGAAAGAAAGAAAGAAAGAAAGAAAGAAAGAAAGAAAGAAAGAAAGAAAGAAAGAAAGAAAGAAAGAAAGAAAGAAAGAAANAAGAAAGAAAGAAAGAAAGAAAGAAAGAAAGAAAGAAAGAAAGAAAGAAAGAAAGAAAGAAAGAAAGAAAGAAAGAAAGAAAGAAAGAAAGAAAGGCAATTAATTCTGGTCCGGAACAACAGCAGATACAAGACCACAGTGTCTGGCACTTGCTAGCAATGACCCCATCAGACCTCCATGCAGTTGGGGGTTGTGTGGAGCCCACAAAGACATTAACACAGCACTTTTTTATCTCCTCAGTGACATGCTGTTTTCATGTTTCACAGGCAAGGTGTTTGTCCTGCTGCAGTTGTCCTTAGTCATCACGGGAGTAGCGACATCTACCATCTACAATAAGATCTATCAAAGTACCCTGAACTGGTACAGCGGGTTCTGTTTCATTCTGTCTTTCCTATTTGGCTGCCTAAGTCTCCTCCCTCTAAGGTACGAAATAGAAAGGTTCTTTTTAAAAAAAAATTTCTTCATTCTGCCTGATTCTAGGTCTAAAATATACCACAAAGACTGAAAAAAGAAAAATATTTTTGTTTAACAACAAAAATCCTGCAGAACTAGGTCCACAAATATCAAGAAGGCCCTAAAAATGAAACTTGCAAGTGGTTTAGTCAATATTTAATCTTCTTTTTTTATTGTAACATGAATTGCTGTAGGAGTAATATTTAGCAGAGCATAAGAGCTAAAAATCCTATGGGACAAAGCCGTCATGTAAAAAGTAGTGCTTGGTATTACTGAAACAGTATTAACTAGGGAGAGGGAATAATCCTTTACAAAGCAAAAAACATTTTAAAATACGTAGCAGGTTATTTATTCAGTGTGGTCAAAAAGAGGAATTTCAATCTCCCTGCGGTGTTCCTTTCAAAGAGAAACAATTACCACTCGGCTGTGGAAATGGTCGCTTTTCTGGTGTCTAGCTGAATTTCCTGAATGAACAGCTAAAGAATGACTCAGATCTGTAGCATCAAGTGCAAGTTTTAACCACATAACAGCTTAGCTGATTTTCAGGGGAGAAAAGTGAGAGCATTTCCAGGAGGCATCCAGATACCCTTCCAAAAAGAGTCTTTATGAGGGATCTTTCTCCATCTCTCCCATGTCACCACCCCATCCCCAGATCCCTCCAGCTCATGCACTCCTTGAAAAAGCAATATTCTGSCAGCGTGAAGAATACTGAAACTGCACAAACCTGCAGCTCCACAGCAAGCCACTGCTAGATACTCAGTTGCTTTAAAAGTGGTCTAAAATAGAGGCTGAGTATTCTTACAATCACCATTACCTCAAATCTGAAAGAGGACAAATGTTGTCCATTTCACAGCTTGCCAAAGCAGCAGCTTATACAGAAGCTGGTAGATTCTCCTAAATAAGTCCATGAGCACTAAACCACCACAGCAATGTTTAAACTAGGCCAAAGGCTTAATGAGGAAAAATGAAACTTTGGAAAATAGCTTGCTAGCTTTTCTCTTATAACATGCATCTTTATTGTTCTTTACAGCATCGTGGCCTTCAAACAACGTTCAACCACCRGTTCCCTTCAAATTCTGACAGACTGAGAGCAGCAGCTAAAAAGCAGCTAAAAGATGTTAATCTTTTCTCTGAGCTGACCAAAGGGAAGTTTTGCAGCCATCAGTCCCTATAGACTTTAAAACGGAAAAAAAAAAGTGTATATTTCTATTCCATAGCACTTCACGTCTTAGCCAGTAAACTGAGCTAGCACAGAGGAGTTTCCTTGTTACTTCATGAGACGAGGTACTGCAGAGACATTATTGCATGCCCAGTGTCCAATTTAGAACATTTTAGTTTCACTCTAGGCTGTTTAGCAATAATGACTTAAGAGTACACACACACAAGAAGGTGGAAAAAAAGTCCTAGCCATGCTGTTCAACACAGAAGAGGGAATAAGAGCATCAGGCCTAGTTTTCCATTAGTTCTCCTCTTGTCTGKTCCGTTAGAAATTCCAAGGTCACCCTGTGACATTGGCATTTTTGGAAGGGGCACAATGTAACATGCTGCCTGTGAGCAGGGGTCTGCAAGACTCCTGCAGTCCGAAGGGGGATAGAGACAAACACGCAGAGGTGTCAGGCTAACTAACTGATGGTGTAAGGAAGAGCACTGAAATACAGAAATATATTAAAAAAAAAAAAAAAAAAAAAAAAAGCCACTGTTTTGTGATCTCTGCAATAAAACACTACTGAGCAGATGTTTCTTTTCCTGATTTCTAGAAGACTGTCTTTAAAATGCTTTAACAGAAGGACACCCATCATTTAAGGGCTGATACTGGCATTTCTACTCATACCACCAGGAGATACTACTTTTGTAATAACTTAAGAATTGGCAAGTGAGGCACACTACTGTAATTTTTAAAGGAGGCATAGGGACCCTGATGCCAGGTAGCAGTCATCTGGCTAGATCTACCCCTCCACAGGGGCTCACAGAGGGTTACTACCATGCCCATTACCCCTCTACAAATCCTATTGCACTCTGACCTTCACCTCCAGGATCCACATTCAAGTTGAAATTGCTGAAATTCAGCAATTTCAGCAAYGAACAGTTGAGACTTAGTTGCACCTGCAGAGCAACAGGTTTTTAAGAGAAGCACATTCGCAGTTACACTGTGAGCTGCCAACAAAGCTCGTGCACACATCGTAAATTCAAAGGTGAAGACTGCAAGAAAAGAAACATTTATTCTAGGTAAAGMAGCAATATTTTAATACATTTATTGGTCCATTCCATTAAATTAATTGAGGTAAAGAAATGGTGCATTTTAAAAAAATGTACACGCTAATAGAGCATTACAAACAATTTTACCTCAAAATGTTTTCTCCATCAATACTAGTTCCATAGTAAACAATGCACAATGTATATTTATACAGAGATATATGAAAGGGAATAGAAGCATGCCAGCACCAGAAATCAAGACAACATTTCATAACCTATGAGTCTGAAGAAGAGCATAGTTGGTAATTTGGTTGAGTGCATGAAACGAAAGCCTCATTCCCATTTTTACATTGTTTAGCTGCTAATCCACAAAAGACAAGTCTTTTCACAGCTTTCATTTTGTTTTTTAATGGTGTGAGTATGTGAAGTAAACGTGTTCCAGTGAGCAGGTTTTTACACAGGTCAAAAGTAGTACACATTTTGCACAATAAGCAAGCAATGGTTCAGTTTCCAGTACTGATATTTGAACATAACTCAGTCAAAGCAAGCTTGCCTTCATGCACGTGGCATAGCTCTCTAAACCTTAAGAAGGAGCAGACATATACAGGTATAGGGGAAGGAGAAGAAAGGTGGTGCTGCGCTGTTTCCATATGCTAAAGGCCAAAATCCCTGGTTGCTCACTATCGTAAGAAAAATATCTGTCCCTCTGGCTGGTGGGAAAGTAGCCCTGACTCCAACTGGATCTGGAGGCGTAGATATGTACACCAGTGGCAGAGTTAACAAAAGGGTTCATCACCAAAGTGCAGAGCACCAAGACCTTCAAGGTTGGCTTGGGCAGCATCTAGCTTTTGGCAAGTCACTTACATAAGGGCAATATATGTCTTTCTGGAAAGAGCATTTGGACTCTTTGGACAAGTAACATGCTTTAGTCAAACAGGCTTACAACTCATCCAGTTTATTACAGAGTACTTATATGCAACAGATACACTGGTAGTACTCCATAGTGCCACATGTAGAATTAATCACATCCATTGGATTTCTTAAAATTTGCTAAGTAGAACTGCCCAGAGAGTTTTAAAAGSAACCTTCATATTCCTCATAGTCAAAGATTATTCCTGCAGCCCCCAGATTTACTGTCAAAAGCATTTTGCAAGTATTAGCAAATCCCCCATCTTAGAAAGAAACCTCATTTCTCCTATTGATTGCTTATTGCAGTAAAATGTTAAATACCAAGAGAAAGACTGTTCTACCCTTAAGATTTAAGGAGTATGAACTAGTTAATTTCTGCCTATCATATTTTGCACAGAGCAGTCATAAGCACCTGAATCTTAGACTTTTAAAAGCCTGCAAAATTATTCATGCACAATTTCTTGAGAGGAATGAGTAAGTTTCAAGAAAACCATGGATCTTATCAAAACACAGGCAGTCCCTGGTGTGGCTGGGATTTTTTTTTCTGTATGTTAATGTCTACAGGACTGACACCTGAGGCAGCATACGCCATGAACGGGCTGGGGAGAGCATCTCCTCCAAGACTCTCTCACGGTAGCTCCGCAGCCCCTTCACTGCCACTTGCGCTTTGCTTTTGTTCCTTTCTGCCTCTYGTTACACTGCTTTATCGCTAGAAGAAGTGTCACTGTGACAAAAAAATAAGTCAAAACAGACTGCATTGAAGAATCGGTAGTTTATTTTTAATGCAATTTATGTTTGAAGAGTTAATGCCCTTAGAGGCTATACCCAACACATCTTTTTCAATAGATACCTGAAAAATCTATAGTAATGTTTTAATGTCTAAGTTTATTGCAACAGTCAGGACCTGATGATATGTATGAACAATAGTTCATAACTGAGCATGAAAACAGGATCTCAGTGCTTGCTTTATTGTGCTGGTGCCACTTGAGTAAGAAACAACCCTAGAAACAGCATGCAAGTAATTGGAGACAGCAGTGAATTAGGCATTCTCGGAGCCAAAACTTGGTCTCGCTCTGGATTAAAAGGTAGGCTGGGCTAATTTAAGTGTTTAAGGACATGCATCCTACATAGGCTTGCAGGAAGGCTGCAACTACTTTTGATATCATTTAACTGAATGCATAGAAGGCGACCCAAAGTGATAGAACACCCAAGTTGGTGAAACATGAAGCTCCTGCACTAYTCTCTGCTTCCCTTTCACAGAATCTCTTGCTTTTAACCATTAGCATTTGGGCTTTTAAAATACAGAGACACCCTGCAAAGCTGCACAAGCAGCTCAGTCAGGTCTCAGCCTCCCAGTAACAGCACCTAGTGAACCTACTCTCTACATCCTACAGAAGTTTCTTGCCTTTTTCTAAGCTGGCCTTCCCTGTCCTGCTGCATCAAGTCTCAAAGTCAGGAGTCTCTCCACACTTCACAGCTTCTCACACAATAATAATATCATGGTTTWCAAGAAGACCTTTTTTTAAGAAGACTCCTCAGTAGTGCTTACCACTTCTACAAACTCTTCTACACGATTCTTGCATAGGATTCCTCTTTTGTAAAGTTTTACTTTCCATGTAGATATTTGAGAGGTTTGGGGTTTTTTTCCAGTCCTCCAAGGAATCCTATTCCAAGGSATACACAGCCTGAAGTAACAGATCTAGCCTTTCCTCTCAATTACTTTGGTAGGTGCCACAGAGCCACTTCAGGAAGGAAACAGTCTGCCTACCTCTCAACAGTTTTACCAAAAAGGGATTTATCTGAGATGAAAACACAACTAGCTCCAGTAGTGAAGACTAAGACTTCAGAATCAGAAGCCTTGGATTAAAGAAAATCCAAACTTAGTTTCTGCAGAAACTGTTTTTTGACAATTTAAACTTGTGACTTGCCATTATCTGTTATGCTCCTAATATTCACCTGCACTTCTCAAGAAAACCTTACTGAGAATCTCAATCTATTTCACTGTGGGGGAATAACACATAAATCTTGTCAGGCATCAGACAGTTTACTCACCTGCAAAGGAAAGGTATTTTCTGCTCATCTTGTGCTCCTTTTTGATGGGGTAGATACAACAACATCTAAATCTGAGTTCCAAATAAGTTTCAGTTGACTCTCAACGATGCAAAGTCAACTGGGAAACTCCATGTGACAGAAAGGATCTGGGTCACAAAAGCTTCCTGAGGAAAACACCCAGATAATCTCAGTTTGTGGGGAGGCAGGACGGCCTAGAAGGACTAGCCTTTTGTTTATCTCATGAGCACTGGAATCGAGAACATGGCTCATCTACTGACTGCATCCTTGAAGGTGGTCAGATTATTAATAATATGCTTTTAGAATAATTTATCTTAGAAGAGAAGACAGATAGATAAAAATACCGGGCACTGCTTCAACATAATCCCTCTAAACCCTCTCTTTGAAAAGCAAGAGCAGTTGGTTGTTCTGCACCTAAGAGCATCCTAAGAGCAATGTAAAGTAGAATTCCTTGTTACACCAAGTAAGTGTATGAAACCTTGGCAGCTTAAATCGCAAAGTGTAATTTTTCTTTAGCACCCCCAAGTTGTTAAAGGAAGTCATGTCAAAAACAAAAACCTCTTAAATGCCTTAAACTTTTCCCACACGTGGCCTATCACATTGGCAACCACCATGGCACTATGATAACTCATCTTGATGGTTGCTATAAAGACTCCGAGCTGAGCAGAGGTACTTCAGGCACATCTAGTGTTTAAGGACACAATCCAAACCAAAGTGGTATTTGATACATCACCACAGGATAGCAGGAGAGTTGTAAATTTCCAATTACTGAACTCAGGTTCCTTCCAAGAGATCAAGCAGTCGCTCCGAAGTTTAGTAGAAGCATTCAAGGCTATTTATTTCTTCCAGTCCTGATGTTACTTTGACACAAGCCCCAAACCTCCTCATTCTTAACAGATAGAAGAGTTAACCCAGAATTATCTGCATGCTGTTAATAACCCAGAATTATCTGCATGCTGTTAATTCTCTGACGGATCTCAGATCCGTCATGGCAGCATTAGGTTCTCTAGAGGTTATCTAAGGCCACTATCAACATGGGAGCAGTTACATGTGACTGGAGCATGAGAGAAAAGGAAAGAAGGGACTTGCACAAGCAATTACATTTAAGGCCAACAGAAACTGAATGGAGTCTCAGAACATATTCCATGTGGCTCAAGGACAGATATGAACACTATATGTACCTTACAGGGGTAATATCTTATTTTTTCCTTACCAGACCTCACTGACACTTATAAGGCAAGTTTCACACTCATGATGATGCTTGATATAAGCAAGTACTTGACACTTTTTGGCTTTTGGCTGCTGCAAAGAAAGAGAGAGAGAGAGAGAAAGCAAAGTTCTATCTTTACTACAGCAAGTACGTTTGGTGATCAAGCCCAAAGGAGCTCTAGTTCAGAAAAAAATAGAYTTAAAAAGGGATCAGGAATATTCTACCATGCAAATTCCAGAGATAGCTTTAGAAAAAGGAAAAATACAACGAAGACTCATACTTGTTTCCATCATCCCCAGAAGCTTCGGGAGGCTGCTACTTAACCCAGTCCCACGCCCAGGTCTATTTTATCCCCAATTCAGTCACAAGTACACGTCAGCCTACTGACATTACTTCATAATCACCAAGGTAAACAGAGACGTTCAGTATGAACCAAGAGCATGCCACACTCACAGAAACCACAGTTCATGCTTGCATCCCAGGCTTTCTGCAGCTGGTGACAGTATGTTCAATCTAGAACCAGTCCAAATCCCAGACAGAAAAGTAGAGAAAATCATTTTATCTAGATGGACCATACAAGTGGCAGCAAAACAGAAAACCTTCTTTTCCAGTCTTTCCCTCTCCATCTACAACATACATAAGGAGTGGTTAGGAAGTACTGTATGAAGGCAATAATTATTTCTTTTTTAAATTGAACAAAACAAAATGGTAATAAAGACATCATTTGGCACCTTGCAGTAGAGTTTATTTTCATCTTTTTAGTGTTCCACTCATCAGTTCCTTCTATACTAAAGAGGTAAGTTTTATTTAGATCCCCATGCATTTTCACTATAATCCCAGGATTACTCCATAGGATGGAGAAGGAACCATTCAAGGTAACTCAAAAAGATGAAATATTACCCAGTTTAAACACAGACAATGAGGAAAAAAAATCAAATAGTTTTCAGAAGGTCTGTTCCAGCCTAAACACAGCTGGCACTTCAGTTAACTCAACAAGAGAGTCCTTCATACAGTTCCAGTATGCCTAGTGGTACTGAGCACAGAAGTGCTAGACTGTCCATGAAGGTACTTCTTATTTGGACTTCTTATTTGGTCTCTGGCTTGTCTTGCAATAGTGGTATAATCGACTCCCACGCCGTAAGGCACTGAAGAAAAGAAATAAAGGTTAAATAAATAGACTGCATACAGCTTCCTGTAATTTTTGACCCACCCATCCAGATCTGTGGAATGTAAGGTCAGGAAGGCTACCAGGGTTTTTGTAGATTAGTGCAGGTAAAAAGTAAGAGTTCGAACAGCAAGAAAGTGTTAGGAAAAAATATATATTTCCTTACCAAAATAAAAGCTCTCTGACTCATCAGATTGCTCAAGTCATAAAAAACCCATACTTCTGACAACAACCAAGCATCACCTAAATTCTGCTGAAGTTAAAAAACAAAGTGCTACCAGCYAGGCAGATAAACTAGTTTTGGTAGCAGTTCACATTTTTGTGGCATGTCTGTCAGAGATGGCTGGTGTAGCTGGTGGTTTATAACAGCAAGTATTATAAACTATCTCCACCAAACTTACTGAAACAATCCAAGGAAGTAGGGTTTTCAGAGATACAAGATATCCCAACCAAATTCAGAGACTTGACCCCACTGCGTTTGTTTAATTGGCAATAGTAAAACAAATGTGGAGTCTGGCTTGTGGACTTTTAGAAGGTTTCTCCAAGACGAGGACTTATTTTCCCAAACACGAATACTTATCTGATGTATAGCCCTTGCTTATGTCATTACTTCCCAATAGCCCAGAAGTCCAAACGGACAAAGCAGACCATCAAATGTGTTCTAATAAGCACTGGGAATAGGCAAACTCATCCTCAGTTCTTACAGTCACAAGTTACTACTGACTAAGCTTTTTCCTAATCTTTTATTAATTTTAGTGAAGGCATACTTCTAGTTGTATGCCCTGAACTGATTAGATGCTTTCTTACTAAAAATATTTCTTGCTKCAAAGAGCAAACTTAAATGAGCAAATGCACTGCTCAGCTGCAGGGACACTGACGGGCATTCAGTTAGTCTTTAATCCCTTATCAGAGCAGCGAAGGGCAGGTCAAGAGTTAACACCCAAAACCACTGAACTGCACAAACTCTGCCAGCGTGACAGAGAAGTGACGCAGAAGCCTGGCTACTCTTGCCACCAACAAGACAAGGAAGTGGGAAGTCTTGTGGAGGCAGGGCGGTCTCACTTCGCTAAAATCTGCAAACAATACCCAACTGGTAAAGAACTGATACACTTGCAAAACAGCTGATAAGGGAACGAAACCCATCTCACTGATGGTGCAAAGAGCAGATACTCTCATGGATCTCTCTCTCTGTGACTCCAGAAGGATCACCGTGTGAGGGTGACCACCGCGCAGTCACGTCCTCCTTCCCTGAGGGTGTAAAGCACCCAGGAGCTGAGCAGGGATGGGTAACGACACCTGACCAGCTCCTCCAGCTGCAACAAGGGCATCCCTCCCTCCCCTTACCTGGAACTCGGGGCTAAGGGAACTCCTCATAAGGTTGAGTCCCCTGTACAATTAGGGTGCAGAAACACCTGATCCTGATCAGTGTCTATAAATACCTCAAGGGAGGCAGTGAGGAGGAGGGGGTGGCCTCTTTTCAGTGGTGGCCAGCAACAGGACTAGAGGAAACGGTCACAAGCTGAGGCACCAAAAGTTCCACAGGAACTTAAGGAAACATTTCTTGACAGTGAGGGTGACAGAGCCCTGGCACAGGCTGCCCAGAGAGGTTGTGGAGTCTCCTTCTCTGGAGATCTTTAAAACCCGCTTGGACGCAGCCCTGTGCCCCGTGCTCCGGGTGACCCTGCGTGTGCAGGGGGGTTGGACTAGATGACCTCTGAGGTGCCTTCCAACCTTCAGCATTCTATGATTCTATGAAACACGAGCATTTGCCAACTCCTGGCAGACTGAGCGTCCATTCAGGGTGAAGAAACTCTAACATTTTACTGGGACAAGCACTGCACTCCATTTAGTTGCGTTAATTGCTATTTACTATTTACTAATTGATAAGTCTACCCCTATAAAATCCCTTCAGTTGATAGTGCATGTTATTATCGCAAAAATCTTGCACTGAGGAATAAAATCAACTAACTGAACTCAGTGGTGGCTACCCCTCTGGATTATTTTACTGTCTCCCTTAAGGAGCTGGCATGACAAGCAGCCTCAGAAAAGTGAAAAAAAGGTTAGAACTTTTTTATGCTAACTCAGAAAAGCTGGCAGTTGAATCCAAGAGATACAAGCACGCAGCACCAAGTGCACTTGCCCTGCAAGAGATAGTTATTCTCATGCAGATCCCTTGAGCATGACCAGTAGTTCAACAGGCTACAATAGTGCTGTGGAAGGCTCTTTTTCTCAGCAGCTTTGGAATTAATGCCAGGCATCCAAGACTCTCTTCTGGTAGACAACATGAACCCTTCCTGAAGATTCATCACCACCTCAGGAGAAAACCTTTATTCCTGCAAACGCCCCTGCAATGGCACATACCTTCTCGTAGTACTGGATGTTTTTATCTGCCATCCCCATGAGTAGTTGCCTAAAGTCTTGTCGCTTGTTGTTCTGCCATCTCTCCATGTCTGCTTTCAGATCAGCATTGAAACACTCTACTCGGTCTTGACATTTCTCAACATCTGTGGGTACCTGAAGCAAAGGAAATGAAAATTCAAACAGTTGCTGTGAGTGCTAGACTCTAAATTAACACAAATCTCTCTGAATAAGGCTACGGACAAAGGGGCAAGGGATAGTCCAGTGGCCACCTCAAATAAACTCAGCAATGGCTGCAGGGAGACAAGACCCAACAAGCTGAAGAGTCATTACTCAGCATGTTCTATCCTGTATGAGGTGGTGGGCAGCTGTGTTCATCCATCTCCACGCCAGGGATGGAGACAGACTGATGAAGAGATTGCTGGAGGCGCGTGTACAGCAAATCCACTCTGCTTATGTTCTGGGTGCCTAAGCTCGGCTTCTGATTCTCAAAYGGAGCAGCATCACTGCAGCTACAGGCCAACCTTCCTCTCCCCCTTCTCATTTACAGCTGAATTAGGTATTTCCTAATTCATGAGAAAAATCCCACAATTTCCTGTAACATGAGAAAAATCTCTTATGTATTCTGTCTTCTTCCCTCCTACTACCTCTCAGAGAGAAAGTCTTCTGAAAGTATCAATTATGCGAGGAACCACTACAAGGTTCTGCAAATGTTCCTTGTTGTCCTCTTAAGAGGTTTTTTTTTTGTTTGTTTGGTTTTTTTTTTTTTTTTGGCAAATCAGGCTTCCAAAGAGGAAGGTCACTTCTCATTCTGATGACAGAGCAAAGATTTCCTCCTCTGAGGCCACGGGCTCCGTCTGCTTGTGCTGGCATGCTTCCCCTCAGAAATGACCACGCAGTACAGTTATCTGAAAGGAGGCATCTTCCTCAGCTTCAAGGGGCTACGCGTAGACAACAGGAGGGTAGTTTGAACCTTCCACAAYATTGCTAGTTAAGGCTGGAAAACCGACATTAAGAAGTAGAAACTTATACACTTACTGATGYTTGGCACTACTTAGTGACACTCAGATAAAATTATAAGACTTAGAAGTTTAAGAACAGAACAGATCTACAGGGACAACCCAGTTCTCACTGAATGCATCATGCATGCACTGCTTAAGGAAAGGCAGCAACAAGCTTCAGGAAAATCTCTTCATGAAAATCTTCATGAAAGCAGCCTCTGCACTGGGCCTATTCATAACAGCAAATACTTTTCCTTTTAGTACAGTAGTGTCATCAAACGCAAGTCACAACTCAGTAGTAGTGACTTACGCTACTGTAAGCAGTAGAACTGTACTGTAGAACCAACATTTTAACTTAATCTGCTTTTAAGTATTTGACATCTACTCTGAAGTTCAAACACCAAGTCTGGGCATAAGTGGAATCAATTTTGCTGCTTTTTATCTGTTTTTATCAGTAGTTAGTATTTAATTAATATTACACTATCAGAAAAGCATTGAGAAAAAGGAAGCTGGATTTTGGGGGAAGTAGCTACAACTGCTACAAATAGCTGTCCTCATGTGACTTGAATAACCCTAAGAAGTGACAACCTTCTGGACCATAAAGACATTCTAGGAGGGCATATCACTATGTCAGTGGCAAGCATTTATCAGTGTAAACTGAGAAGAGTTATACATGCAGACAAGCCTTGAGAACGAAGTRACAGGTTCAGCAGTTTGGCCATCTCATTGTACAGTAAGTCGTTGGGCGCCTAAATGTATGTCATTTAATGCAATTCCTGTGCAGATTCCAATACTTTAATTGTGTCCCACTTCTAGAATTCACCAGCTCAAGCATAGATGGCATTACTTAACAGCATGAACTGTTAAAKCCCCTATACAGTCTCATTACTGAGTAACAAATGGTTCTGAAGCAGTAAGAAACATTTACCAGGTGATCTACATCTGCACATGATGCTTCTGCCTTTCCAGGTTTTTGGGAACAAGGCTGCCTTCTCTTAACATGGCCAGCTTCTACTTCTTCTGTACTGACATATTATTTTTCCCACAGAATATCACACTGCAAAGCCTCAAGGCAGAGTCAAAGACCAAATATCATTAAAAGGGAATATTGTCTTGTTACAATGAAATAAAATCTGCACTTCACTATGCTAGCTGGATTAATGCAAAAACAGCTCCAGCATATGTCAAAATGTGCAAGGAGCATCACTGCAGAGTCTGTGGTCTTTCCTCTAAACTAGCAAAAAGGCCCCTCATGGGAGAGCCTGTACCATGCTTTCAAAGGAAATGACAGTATTTTGGGCAGTCATTTGCAATAGCCCAAGGAGCCTTCCAGATTTATACTCTGTTGAGTCGTTAGCTGATCAACTCAATTTGAGAACTGCCTGATGACAGTGTCTGAGAACACAGCATGATTCTGTGAGTCTCAGAACGCCCTCCAGTGGAAGAGATCAAGGAGATAGGCCCTCATTTAGAGATTTTAAAAAAAAATAAGCCTGGATTTTTTTTAATGCCATTCCCTGCAAATCAGCTAGTTATACCCTGAGGAACATAAATGCCATTCACTGCAGGTCATAGCCAGCAGGTCATAGCCAACACTACGAAGTCACTGACTGCAAAATGTGTTGCAAGGAACAGCTCATGACAGGATGGGGGCTCTGAAAATGGGGAACTACCAGCTGTGTGAACACAAGAAGTTGCTTTCTTTTTCTACCTGTGTTACATGAAGATATTTGTTTTACAAAAAAAAAGGTGTATCAGTTTGCCAAAATAAATGCTTATACTACTTGAGTGCCAAGTATTCCAAGAAGTGTTCAGATAGCTATCTAGGTGTTGTGCTTTGCACAATATTGCCAGTAAGCCTTTCGTAGTTGAAAGATTATCACACTTCAGCAGTTCTGTTGCATCAAGATCCTAGCAATGCCAAATGCCTGAAGAGCTTCACGTAGTTTGCTGGACACAGTAGACCCATTTCCATCCAGGTGAATCAGGGTGGGTGTTCACCTAAAACCATACTGAGGAATTAAGAGCACACCATCCAGTACTGGGGCAAACAAAAACAGAGAGCACCACAACATATTCGAATCATCTTAATAATGCTATCTGTAAAGTCTGTGACAAACAAGCTCAAGAATTGGAAATACAAGTTAGGCTTGTTGTGGAGGACTACCACTTCTAAATTAAAGACATTATGTGAATCTTTCAGTTAGAAATCATTACAGAGTAGTCCTAATACTGGAAAATGATCCCTTAGTTATTAACTGAAAGGGAGGAAGGGGAGTCAAAAGACAAACAAACAACAAAAAAGACCCCAAACCAGCAGATAGAGGGACAAAACAACAGCTACTTTCATCACTGGACAATGTCCTGATTTAAGATACACGCACAGTAAGGCAGAAGCACAAGAACACGGATTTACTGCCTTGTTTCTGCATGAAGCCTGACCAAAATCTGTCACCAAGAGACAGCTGATGCATCTGTTCAGCATCACATGAGAAGACCCCCCCACAGAGAGGGAATAGTAGGTGTCCTACAATGCAGTTCTGCAGCACCAGGGCTGAGGAACTTAGCCAGCAGACATGACTGAGTGTTTCAGGGAGTGTTTTAGCACTGTTACAATCTGTGCCACTAAACACTCTCCCAGATGAATTCTGGAGTGCTGTTCAGATGTCTACACAGGACAGGATAATTCGCTGCTACTGTCTGGTTGCAGCCACCCTTCTCTGAACAGTGGGAGATCAACAGCAAGCACGTAGCTATACAGGCAATGCATTTTCACATCTACACTTTTCTTTGACACCAGTATGCCACCAACAAACTCTTGTCTGAGATACTGCTTGTACTGCAGAAGAGGAAACCAGACCTCGGCAAAACAAGCTTCCTTCACTTTCTCAGAACGCAGCTGAAGTGCAGGGTGCTTTTGTGCAGTAGTATCAAGTGCTAACCTTTGGACGTTCTTCTTTTTTCAAAGCTACTGCTTCCAGTTTTGCTTCATACTCCGCTTGGACTTGGTCTCTCTTCTTCAACACATTCTAAGCACAAGAGAAAAGACAGTTGTGAGATGGACCCTCTTGTTCCTGCCCTCCCCACTCTACAAGAAACTGCCAAGTGATACAGCTTAAGTGCTAATTTAACCACAGCCTGCCTCTCAGTATTTTATCCTTTCTTACAGGATTTATGAAACAGCTTTTAAAAATAAAGAGCAGTAATGTGGAAAGCCTCCTCCTGCTCTTGAAGGATCAGGGAGAGGGGCTAGGGCAATGTAAGGCACAAGCTCACATGTAACCATGAACATAAACCTGGCTAAGTCAATTCATCAGATGACCTATTACTAGCATGAAGAGGATAAACAAATACATAAAAGCTGTCACGGATTAGTCCAAAGCTTTTGATATCCTCAAGCAGCAGAGAGATTATAGCACAGCCAGGAAAAGATATCATAGAGGGTAGTAATATCCCCCTCTTCATTTAAACTCCTTTAGAACGAACAGCTACATTCCTATGTTAAAACTAAGTTCAGCCTGGTTTTAGACCAGTTTCAGGGAYTGAGGGAAGGGGGAGACACCGTACACATGGTGGCTTATGAAAAGCTCACTTCACGTGGGAATACTGTGCTGCATGCRTGTCACATAGCAGGCATTTTACTGACAGATGCTTCTTACAGTAAAGTAGCATAAAAAATGCTACCTTTATCCTGTACTGCATCCATGGGCCATATTTTTCTTATAGCTTGGAAACAATCAAAAGAAATCAGGTCTTTTCAAGAATACACCAGTATGGAACAAGCAGTTTTGTGTCTGCAAAGCAGAACATTAGTCTCATACCAAGTGACTTATTTCTTTACTTTTCACAAATGAAACAACCGCTAATGCTTTCCAGTTCTGCAGATGGGATCATTAAAAGTGCTTAGAGCTCCTCTTGCAGTCAGTTTGGCCAGATTGTGCCTCAAGGGTTCCTGTTCCTTTCTGTACCTCACTAGGACAAGAGGAGGTAACTAGTCCCTTTAATAGTTTCAGCAACACCAATAAACGAGGACTGGTCATGTGAACTGCTGCCTATAGTAACATACATCTCAAAATTTAAGCGGATCTTAGAGCTCTAGAAGCCAATCTAGTTTTGTTTCCTGTTTACTTATATTAAYGTATGTACACCTTTACCATCTTCATCCCTTTGCACCCTCTTAAGCTAAGCAAGGATCAACTTGCAGTTCTAAAAATATGGCATTCCACAGGAGGGAAGACCAATTCTGGAAGACCAATTAGTGATATGAGAAACCACATTCAGCATCTTTACAAAATCCACTCCTTGATAAACAAGAAGAGCAACTGATCCAAAAAGTTGAAACAATTTATGTAAAAAAGAGAAAAAAATCAATTTAAGAACATAAATCTTCAACAGTTTAAGCTTTTCTGTTGTTTTGTTTTTCTCCCCAAAGAGATGTAATCAAGCATTACAGTTTGAAAAACACAATATTCTCACTGGTTGCAGAATATTTTTGAACTTCCACAACTTTGTGGAACAGCCCTTCTGTGCTTGAGTATATTTAACAGGYATTCATACTTTGTACTGCATCTTGAACTCAAGTAAGCTGAAATTTATTTTCAGAAAAGCAACTGCCTCCAGCAATTGCACTGAGTTTTCATGAGCACAGTCAGTGTGGGAAGCTAGATCTGCACCCAGATTAGCCAATGATTAACAGGTATCAGCAGACTAAATTCAAAGGGCAGGTGCCCATTTTTCCCCAAGCACTATGGACTATTAACTATATGCTTCTGAACACAGGTTTAGGTATCTATTAATGACTGACTTGAAAGTGGTGGGAAAGATGCTGTTTTTCCTTTTATTTGCCTCATATGAAATGAAGATTAATGTTTCAGGAGCCTTCAAGAAATGCTCTGTACTACCAAGAGTCCCTAGACTTACCACAATCCATACAACACTTCTGCTAGCTGAGGTCTCATCTTACAGTCCCTTCACTTACCACAATCCATACAGCACTTCTGCAAGTTGAGGCCTCACTTGCAGAAGAAAGTTTTAGCTTCTTTTCACATACCGCATTTCAATTAGTTGGGACCAGAACTAAACCACTAGTCCCAGCGGTTGTGRTGAGTTGGGACATTTCACCACCTGGACAAATCCGCAGGACTCGTCCACGAGTGTCCTTGTTAGGCTGCAATGATAACTGATTGCAACAGATAACTGTACTGTTTCACTGTACATAGCTTCCCACTACGGCTAGACCTCATGAATGAATCCTTACTTGSAGCACTCTTTTTGAAGAGATGGTTAAATATTCAAGATATAGCTGTTTAAATACGCATTAGGAGCAATGCTGAAGCACACAGCAGAAGACTGCATGATTCGATAGTCCTTGCTGGCAGTGTTAAGTGTGTAGAATTCAAACAATATTTTAATATAAGCACAAAATTGAGAACAGAATTTGTGATGTGCCCTCCAGTAGAACAGCAATGTACCTCAAAAACATTGTCCTGCACATTTGCCGACAAGCACCTCTTCTCACAGGATTTCACATGGGATCTGCTAATCGCTCTCTTGGCCTCAGTTTTAAAACAGGCCTCTCCCACCCACAACCAGGATGGCACTTTAAGTGAAGCCTGCGGTGCTGACCTCCCCCAGCTTCTGCAGAGCTTTCAAAGAAATCTACCTGTCTGAGGCAAGAGATGGGGATTCCCTGGAACGATGTATCTCAATTGGAAATATGGGGCTCTTCCTCCCCACTGTGCTGGCCCACCAGGTAGATCACTGCTCCTCAGCACACTAAAGGGAGCATCAGTCACAAAAAGTGAAAATCACCTTATGCTTCTTGCTCTGAGGGGCATTCATCTCGCCACAGTCACTCTACAAACAAAGTTCCCCTACCTACTGCTGGAGTCCAGCTTGCAGCAGAAAAAGCTATAAAAGCTCTACTGATCTGCAAACATCCATGGCTTAATTTTCATCAAGTGTCCCTGGGAAAGAAAAGGCTTTGCTCTGAAAGACCAAAACATTCTTTAATTTCACAAACAGRACTCTCAGCAATTGATTATCAGGACTGCACTGCTAGTGAAGACGACAGTTATTTCAATAGAAAGTCTCTTTCATTTGAAGAATTGCCATATTTTGGGTTACTTATGGAATTTTACAGTGTTTGGAAAACAATGTAGTACCTATATAGTGCAGTGGTAACAAATTGACATCCTCAAGCCTAGTGAAAAGGAGTTAAGTATGACCTGACAGGTTTCAGCTCCAGCTCTTGGAAGGGATTTAAAAGGGGAGAAAAGTCTTAACTAGCAACACTCTTTACCTTCATTCTAAGGCAGGGTAAAGCTCACAGGATACATCCCAAGCCTTACAGTAAGCCTTACTAGCTGCTCTTACTAACCACTGTTTTGCAAGTGTGATAGTTCCACCACATCAAGACAACTGATTATATCCAGCTATTTAGCAGGAAATACAAATAGAGGGATGAAGTCAACTCAATAATATAGAAATAAAGCAAGAAAGCAAGAGTACATTGAGCAAAATAGGTACTTCAGTCAATTAACACAAGAAAATTTTGAAGCAGAGAGACTAAAGACTATCTTTAAGCTTGAAGACTGCATTTAAGCGTCTTTGCTATCAACTGACATGGTCTCATTCCAAGAAAAATCTTTTATCCTCTCCAGACAAGGCTTCTATCCACAGTTCAGTGTGCCAACAATGTGTGGGTGTTAGCTGTCCTATCATGGAAATGCATTTGGTCTATGCTGGAGTCAAACGCCATGACCATRAAAGCAAACAGAAACTTTGAGGATTAATATCAAACCTTGTGCAAGAATACTTTGCTTCTCCTAAGGAAGCCAGAAGTCATATAACTAATCATATGAAGTTGGGAAGAGAATCCTTCAAGCGTTTCAAATGCTTATTTTGAGAAATGTAGGAGGACTAAGAATATGGCCTTAGTCTAGACCATAGACTGACACTGTCTACCTTGTTCAGACTCTAGTTTCCCAATAAGTTGCTAAATACCTCTAAACAAGTCATTCCATGACCTTATAATGATTCTTCCAAGAGGAAATTCCTCAGGAGGAATTTGCTAGTGCTCAATRAAGGGACTACTACTACATTCTGTACACCATGGATGCACTGCAAAAAATCCTGCTACAGCCAGAACTAGAGCTCTTCGTTTTTCGGTGATGCAAACTCAGTTCTTCTCTTCCTGTTGCTAAAGACTGTATTAAAATAGCTYTTCCATAAACAATAAGATAGCATGTTCTTAAACAGATTAACAGTGACAAAGCAATATCTTCAAACAGTTATTTAGTATGTATAGAATGTTAAGAACTCAGTGTGAATGTTAATAACTTAGTATGACACATCCTGATGCTSTGTGGAGAGATAACAGTATTTGTCATTTGGACACATGTTTCCAAGAGGAGCTATCCAACAGCACCACATACCTGAGACAGCTTGCACAGCTGCTAGTGCTGCCTTCCGCAGGCCAGGTCATAACTCAATAATCAACATCTGAGATTCAACTGATTTTCTAACAGTTCAAGTGCTGGACAGCCATGTGACATCTCACAAGAAGTGACTCCATGATATTTCATGTGCAGTCTAGCTTTATGACCTTACCTTGTCCAGCTGGCAAGCAGATAGATAGTACTACTCAGGTAGCTTCCCACTAAACACACAAAGTTCTGACTTGACAATGAAAACACATTCCTGTTTTAACATACTATTTATTTCCCTCTTCTTGTACCAACAAGCCTTCTCACAGCTAGGAAAAACAAATTCATTGACAAATCACCCCAYGAAAACACAGTATCATTTTCTTGCATTGCACGGTTCCCTTTACCTTCATTGATTCCGAGTACAGTATATATTCCCTAAGCACAGGCAGGAAGTCTTCAGACATGTCTTCGCTGAGTTCTTCAAGAGCTGTGCAGCAGTTCCCAATACAGGCAGACACCCCTTCCAGCGGCTCCGCTAATTCAACCTCCAGCCCACCCCAGGTTGAATAAACAGGTCCATATTCTCGTAGCTCCACCAAGTATTCTGCAAAAGCCAGAGGAAAAAAGCAGATAAATAAAGAGCATGGTAGTGTTATGTAAACATTACAGAGAGCAAGAACATCCTACGAAGCACGGCAAACTTGAGCCCTTCTAGGGACCAAGTCTTGTATTACATTAGTACCTTGAGAGTCAGAGCTCCACAGCTGCATAGGTGACTAGTCCAAGCTACCTCCAGCTACACTGACTGCTCCTACAAGCCTCATGTACAGGAAACAAAGCTCCTTCTTCACCATACGCAAAAGCTGGCTTTGTCATGAAAGATACCTTCCCATTCTCATAATCTTATCTGGACTCTTCAAACTGGAATCTAGACCATTCTCCAAAATTCTTTATAAAATTGAAACTTCCAGTAATAAAGTAGGTCTGCATAACGACAAGGCTATTTTTTATACAGTTAAGCTAAGAGAGGATATTGTGTGAGTTTTTAATCTGTTTTAAAACTGCAAGAGGCATTAAATTCAGATTGTCACAGTCAGTGCATGAAGCTGGTTACGGGCCAGGTTCAAGGATATGAATTCTCAGCTGTGTTATCAACCAGAGCAAGATGCAGAGCACTCAGTGTGAAGTATTTTGACAGGATGCCATGACCTTACCCAACTGCTCTTTGATAATCCGCTGTGCTATCCTGTCAATAGTACCAAGCTTTAGAGAGAACGTGTCTAGATACTCTCCAATAGCTGCAAACTCCAGTGGCCGACTTCTTAGTTTGTAGCCTCCTGTGACATATTTGACAGACTCTCCCATCTTCGACAGCAATGCCATCCCTTGCTTTTTGTAGGCATTAAGATCCTGGCAAGGTACAAAAAAATATATATATACATATATATATTCAACTTGCATACTGGAAGATGAACAAATGAAAAACACTTTAGTCAAGACAAAATGTTGTAAAGACAAAAGATTCATTTAGTGTAGGACTCATGCTCACTTTGTACAAGTTACCTCTAGGCACTGCTTTAAGAAAAGCCCTGGACAGAAATATTCTACCCAAAGAACAACATGAAAGATTTTACAGGTGAGCGCTAAGCAGCATCTCCTGGTGCATGGCCAGAATTTCTCTTGCTCTTGTATGGTCACCAAAGACATAATAATAGCACACGTTTCTTTCCACCAAGTCTCTTCATACCATTCATTCACACTATACTAAAGGTGGCATACAAGTCATAATTCAAAATAGCAACACAAATTCATATGGCTTTAATAGGTTAATACAGAGCTACTCAATTCATTAAGACTAGATGCATTCATCCATTCACCTCAAATGGTAGCCAAACAGAAGCTGGGGGAAGGCGGAAAAGAGCACATTACAGGGAAACTTACACAGCTGCTTTGCAAGGCAGACTGCAGCTCAGGCTGGGTCTGAAGCAGCCTGCACAAAAAACTCAGGTTTTATTGCTAAAGTGTTTGCACAGACAGGAAGTCACTCAAAACCTGTGAAAAAAAGTTCTTTTCTTTCTTTCTTTTTTTTTTAAATGAAATCTGAAGGATTAGAGGATTTCATCTTGACAGAACATCAGAAAACACGGGTTCTAATTAGCTAAGCCATTAGTCATCCATTTTGTGCTCCACTCCTTCCAGTAGAGGTCACTATTTAACATCTCAAAGCAAGCTCAAGAGTTAGTGAGGTTTTTCGATTCAACACGAAAATTTGCAAAACAAATACACATGYAAAGGTTGAGAATTGATACATGGTATTATAGACCATGCCATCTTCGAAACAGACACATTATTTTTTCCAAGCATTTATGCAAGTCAAAGATACGTCTGATTAACATAAGGGGGACAACTTAGCAGCTAATGCTTATTCTTAAATGCAGTATTTCCTTCGTGCTTAGGACAGATGGAAGACAAGTCACCTGTGGGCAGGCATCAAGTAATGACCCTTTAGCTGAGCCACTATTCAAGTGTTCCTGTCTTTCTGATCTACAATTCATGCTAGTCCACATGGGGTACTGAAAGAAGCCTTGATTTCTCTACTGAACCAGGACAGGGTCTCGTGATTTCTCACACKGAGTCATTCTGAAATCCCAGTACAACAGTGCACAAGAGACGGCCACAAGCAGCTATCTGCTCTTCTCCCGCCRCTACTCCTCACCCAGAGGCTCATTACAAACTCTATATACTCAAGACAAAACCCAGACAGTACTAAGGATGAAGCCTTTATCATTCATTCAGGGGAGGAACAGGGGAGGATTAGGGGAGGAAGAGGATAAGATATGTAAGAAGTTAAGARAGTTGCCTCATACTTCGACAAAAAGCAGAACAGCACTTCCTATGCTGGGCTACCCAGGGCACTAAGCAACTTCTGCATTTTGGGCTGGCTGCAGCCATTCAGTTTAAGTTAAGTTTAAGGAGTAGAGGCATGGGGAGAGAGGTAGGTGATTGGGGTCTCAGGCCCTCAGCGAGTACAGCATTATTCTGAAGTCAGCTCGTCAAAATAAGTGCTTCATTTGAGCAAGCTAATGCAAACAGTTTTATTAATACTGTTTTARCTTCACTTCAAGTAAGACTGCAAGAGTGCCCATTTTTCTATAGTCCTTGTCTGTGATTTGACTAGAAGCTTCTGGCTTACCTTGGCGGTGAGAAACACATTGAAGTGCTCGTTAAAAGAAAGCACCGGGTGATCAGTGATTCTTTTCAGGAATTTGTCTAATGCCTTCCTTCTTGTTTCCACAAATTCTTCAGAAAACCGATCAACAACACCCTTCACCACAAACTTCTCAGGAAGAGGCTGTGAGAAAAGACAAGCAAAGCGTACAAGATTCAGTACAATAGACAGTTGCTTCTGCAATTTGTAAATGTAGTAGAGAATCAAGCTCCCATCTTGATGGTAAGTGCACTGCTATATTTTTTACCAGGAATTATCCATGACAATGGGGAGGGAAGCCCTATTCCAAATTACTCCCAGTCATTTCACTGACTGGCTTCAGCATAAACGCATCTGTCAAGCCCAGCCATTAYTTACACTAAGCACTTCCAGTGCAAGTGTGTCCAAGCTCCATCTCACAATCACATAATCATTAAGGTTGGAATAGACCTTTGGAGATCATCCAGTGCCACCCCCTGCACACGCAGACGACATCATTAGCAGGGTTACCCACTGCTCCCTACAGTGATGTACACACATCTCCAGCTGGCATTCAAGCAGAGCTGCCCTATCCAGGGAAACATGGAAAACCTAATGACTTTACCTAATGACATTAAGGTTATTTACAGTATTTAAACATATGCTTTCTGTTTTACTCTTGAAGCCTTACTAAATCAAGAATAAGCAGATTATCCGTCCAGGAAATTTATGGCAGCTATCTCCACTTAATTCAGGAATTCATGATCTCCTTCAAGAAGTCTCTGCCAACTAAAATCAGTAACAAAGATTATTCAAATGAAACTAAGTACATGTGACCCCTCCCCAAAGACAACAAAACTGATGTGAGATGTTCATGAGGTCAGCAGCTCCGAAAGAATAAAAAATCCAGCATAACTTAACTGCAACAAAGCTTGACATTCAGATCTGTTGTTCTAGTTAATCCAGTTTAAGTCACATCCTAATAAGATTTCTTCAGAAGAAGAATGCTTAGTGTAGTAGATTTTAGGGAGGAACAGGGTTATTTGCCAATGCTTTGTAAGCTTTATCCGGAACTCTAGAAACCTCAGCACCATATAACAGGAGAAAAAGAACAAGCTGGGAGATTGGGTTAAGAGAATTTCCCTCAGCCAAACACAAGTCAGCTGGCACTGCTTGGTATGCCAGCTTAGCATCAATCACTAACTGATTGATTAATTAATTGATCAATCACTAATTGATGAGTCCAGGCACCAACAGAAGATATATCTTTATTACAGAGGCTTTTGACATTTAACACTCTTTTAGCTAACTGCATATTTCTCTTGAAGTTTCTCTTGAAAAGAGAGTGGACTTCTGCAAAAATTAACACTGCTCTCAACACATAGGTACTTCAAACTGCTTCAAACCACTTACTAAACAGTCCTGCCAACATTGCAATTAGCGTTTGGCAAAACCAACACATCAGCCATAAGAGATGGACTGATGCATCCTAAAATACTTCTTCTAATGTATAGACAGGAGCCTTTGTTGCTGTAGATACTGTTAATAATCCAGGTGCTTCTTATTCTCACCTTACTACCAATGTCTACACTTCAATAAGGAATTTCCGTAAAGACAGTGGAGAACAGTTACTAATTTACCTTCKAAAAGCCTAGAATGAAGTTTTTTTATGTCAAACATTCTCCAAAATGCAGGTTTATAAAGCAACAGTCACTTGTTCCACTTCAGGGATAAGTAACAGAGATGAACACATGTTCATGCTACATATACATGCTACATATACAGGTACGTGCTACATATAAAAACGGAGTTCTACTTTGATCAAAATTCCACCTCATTTCAGCAGATCTGCAAGCCCCAGAACTACCTGCAAGTCACAACAGCTGCAGATGGCACCTGTGTTTAGCTCATATTTTAGAATCAGGTAAGTGGAAAAAGATACATGGGGCAAGAAACCAAGGCAGCTGCTTTAAGTAGAAATTGTAACTCTTTTCTTTTAGAGGCCTTTGTGATCTATCACAATCAATATACACGGCTAACCACGGCTAACCACTGACAACCCGCTTTTACTGTGTGCTTCCTCTCTAYATTATGATCTTCAGGTTAACAGCCCTATTCTCCCTGCTGTGATACGGGAACAGTAGCATTCACTGCAGTCAGAAATGGCCTTAGCTATCACTTAAGCCACTTCATATCACATCACCATAAGCTATGCTTATCTTTCCAGTSCAGACAATACATCTACCACTGACTAAATTTATAATACTGTTTGAAAGAACAATTATTAGATATTGTTCTATAACTCTATAGAAATATTAGATAGTTAAAAGACTTAGTAGTCAAAGATTAACAGGTCCATGCTTATCTTGGACAGCTGTTTCAGTTAAGGCTATCACAGCTCTRTACTGAAAAGGGCTTCTTTACAGGAAGATTTTAGGCAATCACTCTACCAAGGCTAAGAAAACAGCCCTTCTTCAGTAATTTTCTTTGACAGAAGGCCTCTAGGCATTTCAATATCTTCAATTATATGTACAGATATTCTTACACGGGCTTGAAGCATCCTTCCAGAACACTCTGCATCTGACCTTGCATTTTCCTTTGCTCCTCACCTGCTTTTCAGGTAAAGCACTCAGCAGTCTCCATAACTCCTATCATGTCATATGGAGGAGATTAAGAGGCAATTCAGTAAGTGCTGTCACACTGCCCTTGTTCCCAGGCAGAACAGGAGAGAACTGCAGCTCTCTTCGTGTACTTCAGCTGCACTTCGGGGGTCAGTGTGACACTACGCCCCCACATTTGCTAGCACAGAAGCACTTCAAGTGCCCTCTCCTGCAGCATGTTCCCTGTCCACTAACAGAGCCACTTGTGCCAAACTTGCAGCTTGGCTTGCAGGGCTTTCCAGGGCCTCATAAGGAAGTTTGACTCCCTGCTTGGGAATCACCATGCACTACTAGACCATTAGTTAACTGCCATTAATTAGTTACCTGCCAACTACCATTAGATGGAGGTATTAGGCAGTAGCGGCAGCCTGCTGGAATCTGTAGATTAGCTAGAACTGGCTGAATTATTATGAAAACAGGGATGGATGGACACTGACTGTCAAGTTTTACATGGCTACGCTGCACCCCAAAAACCAGATGACTCATTAAGAACATCAGGAAGCTCTGCAGCATTACAGCCATTAAATCATGAAGACCATGCAAGAGCCTCTACACCGCGCCAGGTAACAGGTAATGAACACTTAGCAGTCTCAAGAAAACAGGTCACAGGCAGCTTTCTCTCCATCTGACTTCTACAAGAAGTCAACAGATAAATCTCATGTCTATGTCCATCCTCTTCTCCTCGCCTCCCATGAAACATTTTTGTTGCYGAGTAGTGATGTCACGTTTACCATCTTTGAGAGTCCGAAAACCACTTACAGAACCCATTTAAATGCAAGTCCTATAGAGGCTGAGGACTTTGGTGTTTCTCTCCTCTGTAACAATCTAAATGAACACAGTCTAGCCCTTGCTGTGGGAGTGCAGGAGGAGAAAAGGCTCCCCCTCAACCCAGACAGCCCTGTTTAGGTATTTCAGCAATGCTGCTTGCAACATTTCACTGCAACTCATTTCCTTCAGGCCTTTCTGAATCTCGTTATTCAAAACAGCTAAACAGCAATTCTCACAGGTTTCTCGCCCTTCGCATCTAACAGAAGGAAAATAAACTGCAGAATGGCAATATCAACCTCTTCACATCACMTTAGATTGCCATGCTGCCAGTTGTGAGGCCAGCAGAGTAGTTTATCCAGTCTTATTAGCAAAACCTTTGCCTAATGGAAACAGCTCCAAAAGCTGCCAAGCCAGAGACTGTAACTCTTGTAACAACCTGGGCTCTTAAYTGTAATGCAAATTGTTTTCAATTGTGTAGTTTAAGATCAACTTAAAAGAAACATTTAACACTAAGACTTGCAGCACCAGCATAGCTTTTCATAGGCCTCACCRAAATCTGAACACAAGAATTGGGCAAACAGGTCAAGCATGCTCTGTTTGTGCTAGGACAAAAGCAGTCACCTGCAGCATTTTCATACAAGAGGCTGCCAAGGTTCACCTCTCAGAGGTGCCACCCAAGAAACATCTCAGCTCCAAAATCAGTCAAGAACAAGCAGCTCTCCCCACTGGCAGCACAACATTGAGCGCCGTATGTARAACTGAATAGTCACATCATCAAAACAGAACCCTTTAAAGGCAGACACACAAATGCCCTGAACAGCAGATCCTTGCTTACTACCTACGGGAATGAGGTGCGTTGGCTGAGACTCCTCCAGCTTGTTCCTGAGCCAGTCGAAGTCCTGGTACCGCCGGCGGACAGAGTACTCTGGCAAATCAAATTCCGCTCGTGTGGTCTGGAAAACAGCAACAGGGAATGTTGAGGGTTCCTTAGGAGTAACAAGACACCAAACCTTTCCCCTTCAAAGTTTATTGCTGAACCTGGCACAGCCACCAACAGCAAGGCCAGACAGTCCTGAACATGATTCACCCTCACATTTTGGTTTGCAGCACTATAGACAGGTCCTTTAGGCCTTTCAAGCAATAAGAAAGCCATAAATAGGAAAAATGATGGAAAGCTGACATCTTCTGAAGGCTCAATGGTACTTCATTACATGTTCTGCTCAAACAAACATCCCAAAAGCAGGCAGCGGGGAAAAAGGGAAAAAAAAACAGTACTGCATACCCTGTTAAACTCCTTACAGTTACAATGTCGAAGCTTTATGAAGTCTTCATTCCAAGGAGGAGCTTATTTTAGCAATCAAGAATTAAAAGCAGAGGTTTTTCATGACTTGTTTATTCATGGAAAAGATTAACTGTGGGGGWAGAATGTTTCACAACTGTGCTATATTTCAGAAACCACAGGTTTATTATCCTTCTACAAGGCCAGGAGATTAAGACCTAGCAAAGGCTTATGTCTGCCAAAGGGCAATGTTTACTGATTTCTAAGAGGAAGAAACAAGTCAGTTTACATATTTTGTTGTTGTTCTGGCATCTGAAAATTGGCATATATTAAGTTAAAGCTTGAAGGAAGTTTTCATTCTTTAGAAGTTGTCATTACAAGTTTAAGATAGAAGGTAGACATGTTGAGAAACTGTTAGGAAATGTCTGATCAAGTCCTTGAACAGTTAACAGCTTTGAAAGCTAACTTATTCTTTACACAGCATCTACTGCAACTGACTAAAAACACTGATGAAGTACCAAGCCCAGGGACTCTGCTAAAACCTCAGGAACTGTGATACCCCTAATCAGAATGTAGATTTTCTTCAAAATTGTGCCTCACTGCGAAGCACAGCTCAGGGGAAAGCTGAGAGTACCACACTTCATCACCTGCAGCACCACCAAGACCGTTCTGCAGTAAAAGCGCTGCTGCCATGCATAAGACAGATATTTACAGCACCTTGGGGAGTGCTCTGCTAGCACTGGACAGCCATCAAACCCCAAACCAGGCTTATTTGCTACTCTCAGCACCCTCTTTCTCTGCTAACTTCCAGAAGAGKTCTTCTATTTACCTTCAGACTGATGGCAACTGCCTCACAGCACTATTGGAAGAGAACCAAACCATAGCCCTAAACTGTTYCCTGCCTCTTCAGTTATTATCTGGTTGGCTCTAACTCCTCAGTTATCCCGTGCTACTCTCAGCCACCTCCAGCGAGGGTCTATGCAAGCTCATCTCATCACTCTTACCTGGYAACTCTAGTATATACAGTGTGTGTTTAGACATATAATCTGAAATCAACAGAGCAACATAACTGCTCCACTGATGAGCACACATTATGTTTGCAGACAACGAACTACCAGCACAAAGATCCACGGCAGGTCTGTGATTCAGACAACTAAACCTCAGAGGGGAAAGAGCTTCTTCATGGGGTAGAGTGCCACAGCACAAGGAAAATTACCGAGACTTGATGTAAAACATTTCATTTGTTTCATTTAAGAGACTGAATAGTGCTCCTCTATAACAAGAACAAGACAATTCATACGGATGTAGACAACCTAAATCAGTCAGGGGTTTTGGTGGCTCTGTTCTGCTATTATAGATGGCATACTTCAGATTGGCAGCAGGAAACCTAATCAAAAAGGCAAAGAAAAACAACTTGTACCAGYTCAGTTCAGTAGGGAGAGCTGTTGTGAACTAGCTGTCACCGGGCTAAGATCTATTAGAAAGAGATCATATAATGAGCAGATGAGAGTAATCTTGATCTGTACACTCTACAGTGTCTCACCATGTAGCATGTGGAAGAAGGTGGGATGGTCCTAGCTATTAGCTTTGGGAAACTAAGTCGCATTACTAACCAACATTATGCCAAACACTAAGGAAACCAACCCAGATAGTTTAGTTCAGAAGTGGGGAGGAAGGGTTCAAACTGTGTTCAGATTGTGCAAAAGGGCTCATCCTAACTTTCTTAGTAATCATCCGGCTGTAGAAAGCCATCCCTTCTGCTTCTGCATCAGAAGCAAGTTTMCATGTATGAGACGCTGGTCCTCAAAAGGACCTGCACAGAAGTACACTGCAGTCAACTGCATTTCAGTGTTTGCAGTATGAGCTGTCAGCTCCAGGTAACAAATACGCTTTTCAAAGATTGTTTGGAAAACTTAAGCACCCTTCAGGGTTATAATACATCTCACTAATGCTGAAAGAATTTGGGACCCTGATCAAACTGTTTCTTGGCTTAGCACATTTAGTGCTAAGTTGATTAGCTGATTTTTTTCCAGACTGCACACGGAGGGAAAAGAGTCTTGCCACAGTCCATGGATGGCAATTGAATTATGTTTTTTTAACTAAGCTGGATCTCTTGCTTTTTTACTGTGATTCTTAAATGTCCTCCTTCAAGGACACATTCTGTTCCCTAAGAAAACGTGTATATGTGGCAGATCTTAAACTTCTGAAATAAGGTATTTGTAGTGATTCACTGAAGACATCAGCATAGGTCTGCTAGACCAGCACCACAATGTTCCTGGCCCAGTTCTAGTTGTCCAAAAGCATGCACAGACACACACACTTTTCCCTGTGTATTTGGAATAGTTTTGACTTGAGGCAAACACCTTCATGTCTTGGTCTTGTGCAAGATTCTTGTCTTTCAGCAAAGAGCTGGCAGGTAAACCTAAAGCTAGCCAGGGATCACTATGTGAAAGTATTTCCTCCTTGTAGTTCTGCTCTCTTGTTCACCAGACCTGCTTGTGGGTCTCCCCTCCCCACCGTAGCAAATGCATATAGTTTAAATGTGGAGCAAGCTCTTCAACTAGAAGGAGCAGAGCTCTCATGCTGGGTTTCAAGGAGGAGGGAAGGTAAGGCCTCACAGAGATGATAGGAGCAAGGTTTGCTGCAGAACTAAGTGATCCAAAATGCAAAGGTGCATATATCAACAGTTATCCCGATGGCGGTTGATAAGAACTAATTAATTGTTGCGTTGTAATGCTATGTATACATATACTATAAGGCAGAATGAAGCAAGCATAAAGACCAAAGTGGGGAGACAGTTAAAGCATTAGTTTTTTAAAGGGTTACCCAATAAAGTAAATACCTTGGTTGCATTCCATAGTTCTGCTTCAAGAGGGAAGAGGAATCCTTCAAAGAACATAGCATTAGAAACACAAGTATGGTGTCTCTTTACACAGAAACCTYGTTTTGACAGGATAATCAGAACTCAATCAAAAGTAGAAACAACTTCTACTGTTTCTGATCATGCAAAAGCTTAAGGCTAAGCTGTCCTATCAGAAAGGCTTCCTACAATTCTTTTTAGTATTTTCTAGTAGTAAAGTATTTCTTGAAGATTAAGATACCTAGAGCCACAAGCAATGACAGGTCTGTGTTAAGAGGGTTTTAAGAGGTGTACCTTTTTCCATCTTTTCTTTTCAAGGAATCACATTCTCCTCCTCTGTAGCACAGCAGTTGAATATTTTAGTAGACTTTATGAAAGTATTTTTTTTCTGAGCCCGAGAGAAGCTTCCTTAGTTCAGAGAAAAATATTGTCACTTGAACAGTGTCTTTAAGAAGACCAGAGTAGAACCAGTTAATGTGTGGACAAGGGGATCAGGTATATCCTTASTGAAGCTACTGAACAGTATTCGCTTTGAGTAACTGCAAGTTCCCAAACCAAAAGTCAACATCACCTAGAAACTGCTGCTAACGAGAACAACTAGTTAGCAGAAATTAAGTTCCAGTTGTGAGGGCAGTGGACTTTCCAGATCACTTCTCCCATTAATGTAATTGGATTGAATTAATCATTGAGCCACAACATATGCAGAAAGAGCTCCAGCATGCCTCTTTTGGTAGGCAGAGAATTTTTAAACTACTTTTACTTAGTTTTAAACAGCCTCTATGTAGCCTTCTGTACCAACAGCCCTATGAAATGTGGTTTATAGGCAGGCATCAGGACTGATTTGGRTATAAGGCTTTGGGTGAGTGCGGTGAAAGCAGCAAGCTTTAAGAGTTTCAGAAAGCACCAGAAGTGGGAGACAGTTAACAGTGAAGCAACAGAAAGGAGACAGACAACCACAAGGTACATTCCYCTTCAGGAAAGATAACTCAAACTAAACTGATAATAGATAAACCTTTTTTCTTTTTTTTTTTTTCATTTAAAAGTAATGAAGGAAAGTGGTTTTGTAAAATCTACAATCAGTTCTTTCAGAATCAAAGAGAAGATCTAAGCTGACACATTGGAATACTGCACAGTTTCATATACCGAAGTTATCCCAARCAGTTCTGCTTAGAGAAACAAAACCTCAAACATATTAAGAAGGTAATCAAACATTAAGGTCTTGTCCTTAAGACAAAACACAGGGAAGGCACAGAAATCCAAAACATACCTTATGTTTTAGATTTTTTTTTTCCAAACAAGAAAAGCACTAGGAAAGGAGAACATTGTACCTTGGTTGTAACCCTGTATGTGATGTATGTCTCCATTGTGCAGACATGTTTTTTGGGATCATCAACAGTAACAAAGAGGTCTCTAGTYTCCCCATCCAAATCATCATCCAGCTGCAGTCTGTTGAGAAGAGAAGAGGAGGAGGCTGGGCTAGAAGTGTCAACAGGGGTGCCATTGGGCAGGCTGAGGTCCTGTATTGGAAAGAATAGAAATATTAACAAAATTAACAAATGCATAGATTCACTATAAAGTACAATATTCTGAAAGATGCYACCAACAAGATACATAGAGTTTTCTTTTGTTTTTCAGCAGCTGCAATAATCACCCTTTTTTTCTGAGCAACTACTAGGAAAGCTACTGGGGTTTTAACATTAAACTCCTCTGCTTTTTCCTAAAATGAATGCAAAGCACATTACCACCATTGCTTGGGATTGAAGAGCCACAAGAGTGYAGTCTTCTCGCCCTCGCAGCTCCAAGAGTATCACCCAGAAGGTAAGGAAAGCAAGGGCTAGGAAACCTTGCAGCAAATGGCTCTCCACGAGGCACACAACTGCAGTGTTTGGGAAGTCTAATCCCCTGGAAATGACTCAACAGCTAAAAATCTTGCATCAAACTTGGTACATTTCCACACCTTCAAGTCTTACACTTTGAAATAAACCAACTACTCCATACAGCTAGTGGCTACTTCACTTTACATAAATATCTCTGCAATTTCACATGGGCTCTCTGCTGTGGTTTTGTAGCAGAGCTAACTGAGAGCATGTGACAAGTTGTATAACACATAGGAACATCTGACACAAGTACTAGCAAGGGCCAGAGATGCAAGCTCCTCCTTTTGGAACCAAGAGGGCTTTTTGGTTGTTTATTTTTCTAGCAGGGGCACCAGAAGAGATTATCTTCATAATGTTTCCCTTGAAAGGGTAAAGATTCCTTAGATGTGGACTTAGAGAAACATAACTGTAGTTGAGCAGCACATTAATGAGCATGTTTCAGTTCTGGAATTACTATTTAGCCCCAGCTTCGCACAGTCTTTTTAAAGTAGTTAAATGAAACATGTCATTTTTGGAGGGCAATGTTGCTTGGATAAAATCCTGTCTGTCCATTTTCATGCAATTGTGGCTCACATTCCAGTGAGACAAGCGTAGTCGCCTTCTTCAAAAGAAGTCTTCTGTTGTGCTTCAAGTCAAGGATTCAGAATTACAGGCCAGAGCTTGAAGTTAACACTACTTATGAATGTCTGTATTTGAAACGTCTAAGAAAGGGGCTGAACTTCTATCCAACCTTTACGTAGTGTATCCCGAGACTACCAGGAGCCTGCAGAGAGGCTGCTGCTCATGCCACTCCAGCATAACTATGCTAGCTCTTCAATTTGGGGATTGCCTTATGAAATAAGGAGGATTTGCAAAAGTAATGATCTAAACAACAGTCACATAATCTCTCAAACGCATTAAGAGAGCCTGGGCAAGCACAAGGTTGGATGGCACAGCTACAGAAGTCTGCACCTTCTGTATTTGTCCTCCCAAACCACAGGTTGCTTTGGCTTTCTTAATACTTGTGGGTCTCTGGAAAATAGAACTAAGGCCAAATTGTGAGTAACAAGCAAACCCAGTCCCTTCTCAGATTCCGCATCTCTGCCTGTGCAGCCTTGAGAACGGCCTGGAGGCAGTGACATCAGGTCTGCTCTCTGAGCCTCCTTCCACCCAGCACCCACAAGTGGTTACCACCCTGCAAGAGGCTCTTCAGACTTAACTGACAAATGAGCAAGATTCCGGTGACAGGCACTCAAATACTGCAGGGGTACTAAGGAGTGAGATGAGCACAACAGAGCCTGCCAGCTCATACCTGAGGCTGACAGGTTAAACTACATCGGCAGCACCTGGCTTTGATTCAGCAGAGCAGAAGCCTGTGTAAGGGGAAGATGCAACATTACCACAGCTCAGAAGATAAGGAAGAGGTTCTGTTAGTTACGCAAACAGGATAAGCAGAAGCCAGTACAAAATTAGGAACAGAAGATGAATGTAGAAATTAGTCAGTTTAACTAGAACYGGGGAGTTTGACCGAACACAGTTAAGAGCAAAGAAAATCCTTGGACGCTGCAGTAGTAGACAAACCTGTTCCTATTTCCAGAAGGAACAGACAGCTCTTCAATGTCCATGTGCTATAGCCATTAACATGAAAGGAGCTGAGCCAGAACCTCAGTGAGTCAAGTTCTAAGCTTCCAGTATGGAAATGAATTAACTTGTGGAAACAGTTTGAAGCCCAAGAAGGTCTCAAAAGACTGCAACAAAACCTTTCCCAAATAAATAAATAAAGGCTTAAATATGAAGGAACATGCCTGTCCACACCAAGGCCAAAACTGGAGAAAGGGCGACAGAAGGAAGTTTTCAACCACTTGCATGAAGTTGTTGACTTTCTTAGCGTTTTTTTTTTGGGGGGGAGATTGCAATTCTGTACCAGCCTGTCTTGCCCCTTTTAAACGGCACAGGTTTGTGGAGGCTTGTAACCATCCCAAACCACTTGAGTGTTCATGTCTCTRCAGGCTCTATGCACCTGAGCACTGCAGGTGCTAAAACAAAAGCTGTGATAAAGTTTTGTTTGATCTCAGCCTTGAAACAGAAACACCCCACGTCTAGATGAAGCTAAACTTCAAGGCCAGCTCTGGCCGGGAGCACCGGGACCAGCTGGGCTTGGGGGAATGACATGGGAAACCTGTACTTAAACTGTGTTATCTGCAAGGGCAGAGCCCTCCCTTCCCGGCCCGTCCTCATGCCTGGCTACTTGGGCAGTCTGCAGCAGGGCAAGGCCAAGCCAGGGCCAAGTGTTTGTCCTTCCCAGCGGGTGGAGCTTCCTAGGGAGCTGCAGGAGATAAGGAATAATGCTGATAGCTGCTCAACACTCCCTGAAGGGCTGGCGGGATCAGYTTGCTAAGGGCTGGAAGGGCAAGCGAGGAAGAGGGGGGCACACGACATAGCAAATTAAGTTGTCTCAGGCTTTAATCATTTCAACACAGCCCAGCTTTGCCATTTTAATTAGCACTGGTTTTCCTCCATTCCTTTTGTGGGGCTTGCAGCATTTTTTGCAGTTGGAGAAGCAAGACAGCATCTTCTGTTCTCATTTGCTTTTACATCAGAAGAGCAGTAGGCCCTGTTGAGCCTGAAAGGAGAGATCTGCTGCCATCTGCATCTCTCACTTTCGTTAGCACGTTCACGAGCATCTGCAGCATTACTGTTGACTAATATTAACTGCTTTGCATAACAAAGTGTCTGACTTCAATCCCAGGGACTCATTCATGGACGGCATCTTTAGGAGGCCACGTTGCTGCTCATCAACTGCTCTAATTACCCACCCGCAGGAAGGGAGCTTAGGCGGCAGCAGCCCAAGCCCCAGCAGGTACCTGCTCCTGCAGCCCTTCAGGGAAGCGCTGGGTGCCACCACAGCAGGAGCGCTGCCTTTTCCTCACGGTACCTGCTGCTCACCACGGCCAGCCATGGACCCGGGCAGTGCCACATGGGGAGGAGGAGGCTGCTCCTGGCAGCTGGGGACAYGGAGCGAGGGGCAGGCTCTGCCAAGGGGCTCCTCACGCCCTAGGGAGCATTCAAGATTCYCTCATGTCTTGAAGAGTTTTGAAAAGTTAAAGGCAAAGATCCTAGCCCTTTGAACGTGCTCATCTCTCTGCAAGTAGCTTTGTGATCCAGGTCTTATTAGACCTGCATTGGATCTTCTTCACCAAGGGACAACCGATAGCAGAAACACTACAACATTCAGACCTTCGTGTTCCTGATCCRCTGGCCAAATGCCCATGTCCTATGGGTTGCAGTATTGCTCTGCACAGACTTTCCAAGAATTCCCAAAGGTCCCAGGACTCAAAGACATTTAAGTTTATAGATACGTAACATCAGAYGAGTCTAGCAGTAAGGATCGTTTCCTACAGTGCAGGGAGGGTACGAGCTAACTGCCTGTATTGAAAATGCTTCAGTCTTGCTAAGTGTGCAGGTTGCTATCTAGTAAGGAAGCGGCTTCACATTCCTTCGTCAGGTTATGCATTCCAAGCTCTTTAACTGCCTAGCTTGCCCACAAACAGACACTAAATCCATCAGAACTCCACTTCATCCAAGTTCAAAATACAGCTGAAGCTTATAAACTTGAGGTCTGCATGTGAGATGAAAAATGAGCTGGGAAGTTTCCAGCTGATCTCATCTTCTCCTTCCTCCATGCCCCAGGAGATTTTCCAAGACTTGAGCTTTATAGAGCAACTTGGAACCACCATAAAGGAAAAGTTCAATTACTTGGTGTTCACTCTTCTGGAAGGCAGCTACAGCCAAGCCAGCCTTTCCCTCACAATTTACCCCAATGGAGCAGTACACACCAGGGCAGACATTCAGTGTTCAATCCTGAAAGGCTGAAAACTGGTCTACAATTCTGTAGGTTTTGGCATACGTTCAAGTGAAGATCATGTAGTCTCCTGCTGAATTAAGAGCTGTTACACTACACCATGGCTACTAAAATTTCAATGTTAACTATTACTTGTATTGCCTTAGCAACACAGCCCAATTACCTGTCAGTAACTCATGAAAAAAGTCAGTGAAGCTCCCAAGAACTCTAAGTAGAGGCAAGTGCGACACTTAACTCCAATTATTCCTCTCCTCCATTATCCATCTGAGGTTCTAATCTGCTTAAGCAACTATTTACTTAAGCCTACTACTTACTGCTTCATTTCCAAAAATGAAAGTGCTGGACCTTTACTCTTCCTCTTCAAGGCATTTTGCTTCTTCTAGCCAGCGATTTCCCAAATAAAAACAGCCTCAGCTAAAGTCAGGTCAAGGGGGTAATGACTGTACACCACGGTTTCTTGGAAAGCCTTATATTTGTAYCTCTAGTACGAGATAATAAGTCACAGCAAAATTGCAGATGGTAACTGGAAAACTCAATAGTTTAAATATGAATACTCCCTCAGAATGCTGTTGAAAACTTCCATCACCACATCAGCTTTCACAGGCCTGTTCAAGAAGAATAAATAATCTCATCAAGTTTTGATATCAGAGAGCTTCATATCAGTTTTATTTTTACCTCTGATGTGGTCACTACTGGCCAGTCTAATGTGAGAAAAAGAAAAACCTAGTTAACCTGTATCATTTGTGTCACTGGCAGCACAACGCCATATTAAGCTGGTGGAGTGATGAAGTGTTGTACAGTATGGTACCATAGCAGATAATTATACCTGGTAGGGTATTTACCTGGTAAAAATCTCAAAATTATCCAATATCCACTGCAGAGAAGTTTCAAATGCTGAAACACGACCCTGTGCCCCATGCTGTGGGTGTCCCTGCTGGAGCAGGGAGGTTGGGTCTAGGTGATCTCTAGAGGTCCCTTCCAACCTCAACCACTCTGTGATTCTGTAACACCTCTTCAGATGTAAGGCAGGGGAGGAAAAGGAACGTGCTTCCCCGTAATATCTGTTCTGCTTTTAACACACCACCATCATATTTATGTTTACTACGTGTCAGCCACACCTAAGTTTCCCCACACACATCTTCAGTAGACGTGTGATTCCACATATTGGAAACAGTGGTAGAAGCTCCATAGACAGGAAGCAGAGAAGAAGAAGAAGAGCACAGGAAGAGAAGGCAGTCTTGCTGGGCAGGTAACATATAGCTGAAAACATTTAGCCATTCCCTATTTGCTCCCAGGAAAGAAGCAGCACATCATCTGTACATGGATGCAAAACCATAACTTTGCTAAATAGCAGTTTGACAAAAGCTGTGAGAATCAACTTCTGAAGCCAGACTTAGCCTCCAAAGAAAGGGGATGTTACTGCATGTAGAGCAGCTCCTGAGGGCTCTCTCCAGCTCAGGAAAGAGAGCACAGCATGTGTGGGCATACTCACAAGGGGCAGACTTGCACCCTTGGGTGTCTGCATCTCCCACTGTATTCATCGGCTAGGATCAGAGAGGAAGGCTGAGGCTATTTTAAGAGCAACAAAGACTAAACTCARATTGGAAACAAGTCTGATTGCTTTTTTACGGCAGAACTCAGAGGCTGGTTATAAATGGGGCCATGTCCAGTTGGAGGCCYGTGGCCAGTGGTGTCCCCAGGGGTCAGTACTRGTCCCAGTGCTGTTCAACCTGTTCATCAATGACTTGGACGAGGGCACAGAGTCACCCTGAGCAAGTTTGCAGATGATCCCAAGCTGGGTGGAGTGGCCGACACTCTGGAGGGCTGCGCTGCCATCCAGAGGGACCTGGACAGGTGGGAGAGTTGGGCAGAGAGGAACCTCATGAGGTTCAACAAGGACAAGCGCAGGGTCCTGCCCCTGGGGAGGAATAGCCCCAGGCACCAGGACAGATTAGGGGTCGACCTGCTGGAGAGCAGCTCTGCAGAGAGGGACCTGGGAGTCCTGGTGGACACCAAGTTACCCATGAGGCAGCAGTGCCCTCGTGGCCAAGGAGGCCAAGGGGCTCCTGGCTGCATGAGGAGGATGTTGGCAGCAGGGGCAGGGAGGGGATCCTGCCGCTCTGCTCAGCTCTGGGGAGGCCAAACCTGGAGCACTGGGGGCAGCTCTGGGCTCCCCAGGACAAGAGGGACATGGAGCTGCTAGAGAGGGTCCAGCGGAGAGCGACAAAGATGATTAAGGGACTGGAGCATCTCTCATATGAGGAGAGACTGAGTGAGTTGGACCTCTTTAGCCTGGAGAAGAGAGGTTGGGAGAAGATCTGATCAATATGCATAAGTATCCGAGGGGAGAATGCAGGGAGGATGGGGCCAAGCTCTTCTCAGTGGTGGCCAGTGACAGGACAAAGGGTAATGGGTGAAAGTTGCAACACAGGCAGTTCCATCTCCAGGTGAGGAGGAACTTCTTTCCTGTGAGGGTGCCTGAGCCCTGGCACAGGCTGCCCAGGGAGGCTGTGGAGTCTCCTTCTCTGCAGATCTTCCAAACCCGCCTGGATGCCGCCCTGTGCCCCGTGCTCTGGATGTCCCTGCTGGAGCAGGGGGTTGGACTGGATGATCTCTAGAGATCCCTTTCAACCTCCAACACCCTGTGATGCTGTGATTGTATGGAGTAAAGGTGCCACCTGTTAAGTACACAAGCATGAATTTAGTTCTTTGCCCAAGAGGGTATCATACAACTAGTCTTGAACTGCTGGACTGAAAGCCCCCTGATTGAAGTGCAACATGCAGATCTTGCCTGGTCCAAGCCTCACTTCTGCACTTCCAGCAGCAACACAGGATCCACTGAAGTRGGTGTCAGTTTAGAGGACTGACTAGATAAAGACTATCAATTTGCTCTCAGGATATTTTAAATAGGTATCAGAGTACAAGCACGCTGCTAAGCCAAGAGTCTCATTACTTTGTTCTTGAGTTCATCACACCAGCATTTCTGCTCTGGAGGTCAGCATTGGCCAGAATTAGAACACAGGTATTTCAGAAGTAGAGCTGATCTTAATGGTACAGCCTCCCTGGGTACCACCTGAGATTTGGGATCAGCCTGGATCACAAGGGTATCAGGCTTCATCACTGTTTGCTTGCACTACAGCCTCTTTGGCTCAGAGAAGCATCAGTGTTGGCTTCAGAGAGACACTGTGCCAGACAAGCACATTCCAAGCCTTAAAACGCAGAACAGGGGGGTTCCCACCTCTTCCCTTGGGCTAAGAGCCAAGATTTATAGGATGCATTATTTTACTTTGTGGTTTGTTTTCCTGTAAGTCACCACAGCCAAGCTAATCAGAGCAAGAATGAGTGCACAGATATGCTTCCTGAAAAAAAATCAGGTTTTCAGCAAGAGCAGCAAGTCGTCTGCTAACCCTGCTGCAAAAGTCTTCAAGGACTCCACTACAAAATGGGTCAGTTTTGGCCACACTCTGCGTGCAGGAATATCACAGGAGGCCGTCAAGCACTAGCCAGACCAGCTGCTCACACTGCCTGGCTGTGTGTCCGTYTTCTTACCACGTCTCAGAGTCCTGCCTCTTTTCTCAGTCTGAAAGGGGCGACTTCACAAAACCACTCAAAGCTAAATGTAGTTYGGATTACAATCTAAAACAGCATATAATTAGTGGCCTCCAGCACATGTTTTTAACAGCAGTTAAGATGGTCTGTCAGTACTGGGGATCAGCAGCGTTTCTGAGCTACTCTGTGCACAAAGGCCAGAAGACTCTTCTAAAAGTGCTTCACAGAAGCATTCACAGGCATTGATTAGGAAAATTATACAGAGATAAAACATACTGCCTTTGACTTATAAATTCTATTGCTATGGCACATGCTTCTCCACATCCTTTTAAGAGCAGTGAAAAGAGAAGAAGGAGGTATGTTTGTTTCATCTTTTAGCTCCTTTATCAAGCATGCTACCTTTCTGCACCTTAAGGTATTCCAGCACATCCACAGGATTTTACTGTTTTACTGTGAGAAAGTCCCAGATACAAGGTTAGCTTCCAGATATGTTTACAAAACTCAAGAGTCTTGCAAAAAGCAAGAAGTTATTCCGGCAAGTGTCCAGT